CACAAACACTAAAGCATATACAGTGGTACCTTGGGATGCGAATGGGATCCGTTCCGGAGCCCCGTTCGCATCCTGAATGGAACGTAAGACACGACAGCGCGTCTGCGTGGGTCACGTTTTGCCGCTTCTGTGCATGTCATTTTGAGCATCTGTGCATGCGACGAAACCCGGAAGTAACGCACTCCGTTACTTCCGGGTTGCCATGGAGCGCAACCCGAAAGCGCTCAACCTGAAGCACATTCAACCTGAGGTATGACAGTATATGCAGACTTGAAACTGTATTTTTTTTTTTTTTTAAAAAAAGGAGAGCTGAATTCTGCCACCAGTGCCAAGAGTGTAGGACTTTTTGGCACTTTTGCAGAATCGAGGTGCACCCCCCAGAGCCCTGAAAGCATCTTTTAAAACATATACCCCCCCCTCCTTTCCACTAACCTTTCTGTGCTTTTGTGTGCAGGCTTTGTACAAACTTTACAGTGCGGCTGCCACACACAAACATTTGTATCACCACGCTTTCCCCACGGCGCAGAAGGCTGAGCCCACCGAAGGCACGGAAAAGAAGACAATGTAAACCCAGCTGTTTTCCACAGAGGTGCATGAAAACACATCGTTGAAACATGTTAATCATTTTGCATCCATGTACGAGACTCTGCCACTCCTTGAAACGAATAGAGGAAAACAGATAACTCATTCACTTGTACCAATGGCTTAAGTGTGGCTGCTTTAATTTGGACAATGCTTGGAAGGGGAATGAGTCAGCATGACTTTCATTTTCTTAAAACTTAATTTTGCTGCAGATACATTACTGGTTTGGTTCTCCAGAACACTTGGCCCTGGCCCAGGACTTTTCAAGACTAAGGTTTGGAGCCAGAGAAGGCAGTGGTTGCTACCTTCCTTTGGCAATGGTGGCATCCTGCCATCCTCGAGTACACATTCATAGCCTCCTCTGGATCCAAGCTCCCATGCCATTAATCCAACGGCCAGTATTCTGAAAAGGAATGGGGCTCATATTCAGGAGGCTCCACGTCACGTTAACATATTTAAATTTGTACTCAAGAGGTTTTTATTTAACACCATTCCCTTCATGCAGCTGTGAATGACAATTTATTCACTTTAAGACTGCCTTCTCAGAAGCTACAAAGAATATTTCCGTTGCTATGGTACGTTAAAAGAGATGGGAAGTATTTTTTTTTTGTACATGTATTTGAGAGTTTCACTGTATATATTTTTGTTTAGTGCATAAAGAGTGTATCAAGTTTTTATTATTTAATTGTCAATTAAAAGTTTGGTTCCTAAGACAATTACCTCATTTGTCCCCAATTCATTATCACCTACTCCCAACTGAACCCCATCTCCTTCCCATTATATGCTAAGCACCGGATGGACATGATCCCATCACCGTTTGCATCTTTCAGAACTTCCTTCAGCATCAATAGGAGTATAGCATCTAGATCAAGGGAAGTAATAGTGCCACTGTATTCTGCTCTGGTCAGACCTCACCTGGAGTACTGTGTCCAGTTCTGGGCACCACAGTTCAAGAAGGACACTGACAAACTGGAACGTGTCCAGAGGAGGGCAACCAAAATGGTCAAAGGCCTGGAAACGATGCCTTATGAGGAACGGCTAAGGGAGCTGGGCATGTTTAGCCTGGAGAAGAGGAGGTTAAGGGGTGATATGATAGCCATGTTCAAATATATAAAAGGATGTCATATAGAGGAGGGAGAAAGGTTGTTTTCTGCTGCTCCAGAGAAGCGGACACGGAGCAATGGATCCAAACTACAAGAAAGAAGATTCCACCTAAACATTAGGAAGAACTTCCTGACAGTAAGAGCTGTTCGACAGTGGAATTTGCTGCCAAGGAGTGTGGTGGAGTCTCCTTCTTTGGAGGTCTTTAAGCAGAGGCTTGACAGCCATATGTCAGGAGTGCTCTGATGGTGTTTCCTGCTTGGCAGGGGGTTGGACTCGATGGCCCTTGTAGTCTATTCCAACTCTATGATTCTATGATCAGGAGAAAGCACCTGTACGTATATGCAATAGACCCTTCAGCCGGAGCAAAAAGTATTTTGAACGACCTGTACTAAAACAAACGGGTTCTAGCTTTGAATAGCTATTACAGTGGTACCTCGGGTTACAGACGCTTCAGGTTACAGACTCCGCTAACCCAGAAATAGTACCTCGGATTAAGAACTTTGCTTCGGGATGAGAACAGAAATCGGGTGGCGGCAGCGGGCGGCCCCATTAGCAAAAGTGGTACCTCAGGTTAAGAACATTTTCAGGTTAAGAATGGACCTCCGGAACGAATTAAGTTCTTAACCCGAGGTACCACTGTATTTGGATCAGGGTCCTCAATTCTTCAGTGCACACACTGCTAAACGCCAATTGCAATTAAAGGTGCTTCTCCTTATACAGCTCAAATATTATTCTCATTGCAAGGTGGCAGGCCTCTGCTCAAATTACTTTTGGAAAGTAAAGCGCCTGTACATTTAGGTTCAACAGGGAATTACATGGTACGCCTTCAAGGGGAAGTTTATAAGATAGGCTTCATTGTGCCAGAACACGGTCAGGTTCTGTCCTATAACCCAGTGTTTCCCAACCGGTGTTCCGCGGCACACTAGTGTGCCGCGGAACGTTGCCTTGTGTTCCGTGGGAGGGAGGCGGGCGAGTCGGGCGGCGAGAGGCGGGGCGGCGGCGGCGAGCACACGCGGGGCGGCGAGCGAGCTCCCTCCCACATCCCATCGCCGCTCGCTTCGGCCGGCCTACCGGAGGAAGGCACGAAAACCTCGCGCATGCGCAGGCCTTCCGCCTGCGACAGCCCAGTAGGCCGGCCGAAGCGAGCGGCGATGGGATGTGGGAGGGAGGGAGCTCGCCGCCCCGCGTGTGCTCGCCGCCCGACTCACCCGCCTCCCTCCCACGGCACACCAGCCTACCTCCGTGGGAGGGAGGCGGGCGAGTCGGGCGGCGAGAGGCGGGGCGGCGGCGGCGAGGAGAGGCCGCCCAGCGCGGGGCTCTCGCCGTCTGCCTGCCTGGCTGCCTGCGAGCTCGGCGGGCAGCGCTTCCGCCCGCAGCGCCCGCCTCGCGGCTCTCATTCCCTGCCCCTGCCAAAGCTCACCCAGCCAAGCCGCGCTCTCCTTCCTGCCTCGCTTTGCTGCCTCCTCCCCCCCCACCCCCAAAGCTTGGAGGTTCCCCGGCAGGAAGGAGGGAACTTAATCCTCTCCAAGGGCTGCGGAAAACAGACATGCAAATGGGGGCTTGCCAGCTTTTCAAGCGCCGCCGGCTTTCTTCGGGAATTACCGCCCGCCGAGCCCGGTAACGCTGACAGGCCGAGCCGCGGGGCTTGGCAGCGCAGCCGGCAGAGTGTGGGAAAGGGCGGCCGCCACGCGCCGGGCAAGGCGAGACTCGACGGGGAGGACACCGGCAGCAGCGCCCCCCCCCAGAGACCCGCTCCGGGCAGGTAATTCACAGAGAGTGGACAGAAGGAAGCCTTAAAGGGCTTCAGCCTCCCAGAGTGGCGGGGAATAATAATAATAATAATGATAATAATAAAATTGACAGGGGGTGTTTTTCTAGGTGAGGGGGTGGGGACTGTAATAACAAAAAAATCAGCTCTATATCAACCGCTGTTTTGCAATGAGGAATTGCAAATAAGGAAGATCAAAAGGAGAATGTTTTTTTGGGGGGGACTCTCTTCCTCTTCCTCCTCCTCCTCTCGTTCTTGCTCCTCTTCCTGGCAAAAGGGCTGCTGAGACCCCTTCTCTCTTGGGTGCCGGTGGGTGCTGTGACGTTGACGCTGCTGTGGCAAGTGCCTTTACTTAGCAGAGTGCATTCCCCTTTACACAGGAGGGGAGGGAAAAAAATTGAAACTTACACTTTCGTGCGTCCCTCCCGGCACGACGCGGCGCGCTGACGTCACGGGGCTGTAATGGTGGTGTGCCTCGAGATTTTTTTCATCAAACAAGTGTGCCTTTGCCCAAAAAAGGTTGGGAAACACTGCTATAACCTTCCACCTTTAAGGGCTAGAAAGCAAATTACTTCACCCAAGCATGGGATCAGCATGTGTTTGTTCTGGCCAAACAATCCCACGATTCTGCCTGTTTGCCCTTAACAGGCACTAGCCACTCTAGTAGGTAACAAAACAGTGGCCTCATTTGTCCCCAATACTAACCCATGGTTTGTTTTCAATCTGCTTTTGGCTTGAGCCTTAGTAGCTTGGTAAGCAATCCGAGATGGTGACAGCAGCCACACCTGCTTCTTGGGAGAAAAGCAAAGACAAACCTAGACAGCATCTTAAAAAGCAGAGACATCACCTTGCCAACAAAGGTCTGTATAGTTCAAGCTCTGGTTTTCCCAGTAGTGATGTATGGAAGTGAGAGCTGGACCATAAAGAAGGCTGATCGCCGAAGAATGGATGCTTTTGAATTCTGGTGCTGGAGGAGACTCTGGAGAGTCCCATGGACTGCAAGAAGATCCAACCTCTCCATTCTGAAGGAAATCAGCCCTGAGTGCTCACTGGAAGGACAGATCGTGAAGCTGAGGCTCCAGTACTTTGGCCACCTCATGAGAAGAGAAGACTCCCTGGAAAAGACCCTGATGTTGGGAAAGATGGAGGGCACAAGGAGAAGGGGACGACAGAGGACAAGATGGTTGGACAGTGTTCTCGAAGCTACCAGCATGAGTTTGACCAAACTGCGGGAGGCAGTGGAAGACAGAAGTGCCTGGCGTGCTCTGGTCCAGGGGGTCACAAAGAGTCGGGGACGACTAAACAACAACAACAACAAGCAATCTGGGCCAGGACAACCAAACCATGGTTAAGTAAGGGTGCTACTGGGTTTCCACATAATGCCAAGCCTTGCTTAAAACGAGCCAAGGTCCATCAGCCAGCAACAAGCCATGACTTCAGCCTTTGGTTTGTTAGCAGCAAGTTAAACCATGGTTAGGCCACTAGGCAGTGTTCAGCCGCAGCTTAGTGTCATGTGGAAACCAGAGATAAATTTGTTCCAGCCACATAAACAAAAACAAGTTTATTTGATTGCTGAGATTTACAGGACACAGATGTTACAGAACTTTCATACACAGATCAAAATGTGAAATGAGATACAAAGGCAACTTTACCACTGGATGGAAGTTTTCACAAAAATCGTTCCTTGCTGGTTTGATTAGGGTGAGACTTGCTCCAAATGGCTAAGGCAGGCGGCTCGGTTCTCCAGTCGCTTTTCAACGCAGCCCACGTGCGCCAGCCCGCATATGGCAAAACGCTCCCGAGAGGATCTGCGGCAAACTAGAAGGATGAGCTCAACAGTCGAAATAAGGCAGTCGCTTATTCATTGCTTGGGTCCAAAAAGAACCGTATTTTTGCAATGTTTTTATAATGGAAGATCATGTGGACCTTTTGCATATTAAACCTGTGTCCACGGCCACAGAGCTGCCGCAGAAAAGCAGAACCCCCTTTTCCCCTGGAGGCAAGGCAGCCCACAAGATCAGCAGCCGGAAGGCAGCCAACAGGCTTCATCTAGCTTTCAGGGCGCTTCTTGCACAGACATCATTCGAAAATAAAATTTCTTCTCCAAGGTACAACCGTTGCTAGAAAAAAAGGTTATCAGACAAAATAATAATAATAATAATATAAAATGTGGCTTTTCTTGAATTTTCCCACCACACTGGCTCTCAGAATAAGAAACTAACTTTCTTTATACAATATAACAAACATCTTTTGTATTCAATAAACATGATACACAAGAAGGTAATTACAAAAGGTGCAAGATCAACAAGAGAGAGGCTGCCTTTTAAACCAAAGCACTTGTTCACGATTTCTCCTCTTTTTTTTTTAAGAGTCCCCTAAGATTCCAAGAGCCCCCAGAGTCCGCTGCGAAAGGGAAGGAGCTCAGAAGTTCTTGCCGTGCTGCTGCTGGGCATACCACTGCTGCCTCTGCTTGCGGTTCTCCAGCTCGCTGAGCAGAGCCTGGCGATAGGCTTCGTACAGCTTCACTATCCGCTCCAGTTCCTTCATGAAAAGCAGCTTCAGCATCCCCTGGTATGTATCCAGGTCAGCCAACTGGAAGAGCTCCCACTTCAAGATGTGGTCGTATCTGTTGCAAGAAACAAGAGAACGATGTAACTGACTGGGCAAGCAATGGATAAAAATAAGGAGAGCTTTATGCTGCAAACCGCCCTGAGATCTTTGGGTGAAGGGCAGTGCACGAATTTAAATAAACAACAGGCTGTTGGATCAGGCCAATGGCCCATCTAACCCAGCCTCCTGTCATGAGAAAAACTTGAAAGCAGGTTGAATCCTGACAAGACAGAAGTACTGTTTTTGGGAGACAGGGGGCGGGCAGGTGAGGAGGACTCCCTGATCCTGAATGGGGTAACTATGCCCCTGAAGGACCAGGTGCGCAGCCTGGGAGTCATTTTGGACTCAGAGCTGTCCATGGAGGTGCAGGTCAGTTCTGTGTCCAGGGCAGCTGCCTATCAGCTCCATCTGGTACGCAGGCTGAGACCCTACCTGCCCATGGACTGTCTCGCCAGAGTGGTGCATGCTCTGGTTATCTCCCGCTTGGACTACTGCAATGCGCTCTACGTGGGGCTACCTTTGAAGGTGACCCAGAAACTACAACTAATCCAGAATGCGGCAGCTAGAGTGGCGACTGGGGGTGGTGGCCGAGACCACATAACACCGGTCTTGAAAGACCTACACTGGCTCCCAGTACGTTTCCGAGCACAATTCAAAGTGTTGGCGCTGACCTTTAAAGCCCTAAATGGCCTCGGCCCAGTATACCTGAAGGAGCGTCTCCACCCCCATCGTTCAGCCCGGACACTGAGATCCAGCGCCGAGGGCCTTCTGGCAGTTTCCTCATTGCGAGAAGCAAAGCTACAGGGAACCAGGCATAGGGCCTTCTCGGTAGTGGCGCCTGCCCTGTGGAACGCCCTCCCATCAGATGTCAAAGAGATAAACAACTACCTGACATTCAGAAGACATCTGAAGGCAGCCCTGTTCAGGGAAGTTTTTAATGTGTGACATCTTAGTGTATTTTTGGTCTTTGTGGAAGCCGCCCAGAGTGGCTGGGGAAACCCTCCCCAGAAGGGCGGGGTACAAATAATAAATTATTATTATTATTGAGCACAAGGACATTCTACCTCCCTTCCTGTGGATTCCAGCAACTGGTATTAAGAAGCGTCGCTGCCTCTGACGGTGGAGGCACAACAGCCCTCTTGGCCAGTGGCCAACGATAACAAGGAATCTTCTGGACATGACCTTAAAACAGGCCACTGTGAGAACAGGATTCTGGACAAGATGAACCTCTGGTCTAATCCAGAAGTCTTATGTTCTTATGCTACTTTGGATAACCAGCCAATACCAATTATATCAAGAGCATATCATTTATTTTTAAGATGCTATACAAAGCTTAACGTTCTGGATGCATTCAAGATGTCCAAATAAAACGCCTCCATTTTTAAAAAAATACAAGCTTAGTCAATGAATTGCCCACCACTGGGCAGAAATAAAAATTTGAAGTTCGTAAGACAAGTGCTTAATGCTCACTTTACGGGAGCCCTGGCATAGACCTGCAGCCAATCTGGGATCTCCGCAGTGTGGTATGGATTCGCAGGCACAAGGATAGGCTGGCTCCTCTCGGCTGGCTGTGGCTGGTATGTCATCGGAGGTGGTTGATCATAACGGGGAACGCTGCACAGAGATACAGCAAAGATCAAACTCGAGTCACTTCAACACCAAAAATGGCAACAGCAGCTCTCTTAGGCTGGGGTGCAGAAACTTGGAGTGAGCAAATTCCCATTGCAGTTTTGTTTTTTTGGTGTTCCTGATTTATGAAATGCAAAGCAAGGCACAACAGTGCAAGTCTAGGGGTCAACCCATACTTTGATACAAAAGGTTGTATTGGAGTTCCCCCAACTCTCCAGGGCTAATCTGGGGAGGGTGCATTGGGGAAGAGAGGAGGGAGGTCCTACTGTGTTAAAAGGAATCCCTGTGCTGGCTAGTGCTGGTGCAACGATTTGATTGAATACAGCTTGACGACAATCTGAAAGCCAACTTCAAAGCACACATACCCATACAGTGGTACGTCGGGTTAAGTACTTAATTCGTTCCGGAGGTCCGTTCTTAACCTGAAACTGTTCTTAACCTGAAGCACCACTTTAGCTAATGGGGCCTCCTGCTGCTGCCATAACGCCAGAGCACGATTTCTGTTCTCATCCTGAAGCAAAGTTCTTAACCCGAGGTAATATTTCTGGGTTAGAGGAGTCTGTAACCTGAAGCGTATGTAATCTGAAGTGTATGTAACCCAAGGTACCACTGTACTTGGGAGTTTACTCTATCAAACAGATTTAGATGGGGAGATCTGTGCCACAAAGCTTATCTATGTTTAAAAAGTGGGTGTGCTAAATCTTGCGAATTCCACCACTTAGACTAACACCAATGCATTTGTAGCATAAATTCTTGTATCTGCCAGTCTGGGATTAGCCATGTCTCTGGGGTGTGTCTCAACAGGTGAGAAGCCAGAAAAACTAAGGATTTAAGCAGTCAGTGGCTCTGCACTGCCTGTCATGGAAGTAGAGAGAAAGTACTGAGTACCACCAATGTGTTGTGTGCTCTGTCATCTACCCTTGGCAGACTTTGCTAATGGAGGCTCAAAGTTCTGTGATTGGTGATCTGATGTTGGGTTCTTTTCCACTCTTCTTTAGGAGCTGGAAAGCAGTGAAAGTCCTTCATGCGTGCTAGCAGTAAGGCATTTGAGGTTCATTCTCTTACAGGGTTATTCAGAGGCCTCACAGACTTCAATGGGGAGAAGTCCCAGGTAAGTGGTCACAGAATTGCAGCCTAAGGCATTGGTTGAAACTCCCAAGGGAAGCCCACAGACGACTTACCTGGGGGCACAGGGGTGTTTGTACTGTGCTCTTTTATTGATGTGGTCGACGTAGTACACACCAAACTCAGCTGATTCCACACGCTCCCACCCTGGAGGCAGCCCCTCTCGCTCAAGCGGATGACTCCAGTGTGTTGTGTTGGTGTTATGGTCTATGTAGTATTTTCTTCCTCTAAGAGTCCAGTCCACAGACCAGCCAGGAGGGAGAGGTAAATCTTCCGAACTGTGGTTTGTTAGGTTTCCCAGCGATGTAGCAGCTACCCGCCCAATGCCTGGAGGAAAAAAAACCCCCACAACAGCATTAGTAAAGCAGACACTCATTTAACAGGCTTCTTGCAAAGTTACACAACTTCTTTTCCTCAGAAAAGCAGCAAAAGATTGTCATCAATTCCACAATACACCCCCTTCTCAGTGCCTAGATTTATCGTTTCCTCTCACAAACATTCCTGCCTTGAGAAAGCACTGGTGCTTTCTATGCAACATGCTCCTTTTGCTTGCAGAAGTTCACATAAGGCCCAGCCTCCCAGAACAGAAGGTTATTCTCCAAAGAGAACTTTTTAAAATGGGAAGACTCGGTATCATGGAAGGCCGAGTGAAGATAGCAACTATCAAAACATACCCCAAAACATAAGAGACATGCCAAGCCAGATAAGGGGATAAGCAGTTGAAAGAGAAGTATTCAAAGAAGTTCAAATTGGGAAGTATTCCATGTTTTCAAGACTGACAAAACACAGACACTTGACCCATAGCTATTGCATAACACGGCTGCTTATCAGAAAAAAAGATGGTTCTTGACTGTGTAATCTGTTTCCCAGGACATCCAAGAGCAAATGTTGGAATGAAAGCCTCAAGTTTTCAGCCCCAGCCTCCCAATAAATCAAGAGACAGATTATGGAAGTGGGAGGGCGTTCTCTAGGCATGAATTAAGCCCTGCTTAAGAGGCAAGGCTGTCAGGGAACACGGCAAGCTGTCTTACACTGACTCAAGACCACTGGGTTCACCTACTCTGGCAGGCAGCAACCTTCCAGCTCTCAATGCAGGCAGATGCCTTGCGCATCACTCACTACCAGGTCCTTCCAACTGGAGATGCCAGGGACTGAACCTGTGACTTTCAGCATGCAAAGCATGTGCTCTGCTTTTCAGCTATGATCCCTCAAGGGTGGGGAGGAGAGAAAGATAAAGGGGCCCAGAGGAAGCAGATGAAAACTATTTGGCTTGCAGAGCTGGCATTCCACACCCCTGATGTGAACAAGCAGGAGCCTATACAGTGCACAGCAATGGAGATGGGAGGGAAGGCCTGGGTAAAGAGGTAAGATGAACTTTAACAGGGAGAAATGTAAAGTATTGCACTTGGGCAAAAAAAAATGAGAGGCACAAATGCAAGATGGGTGACACCTGGCTTGAGAGCAGTACATGTGAAAAGGATCTAGGAGTCTTGGTTGACCACAAACTTGACATGAGCCAAGAGTGTGACGCGGCAGCTAAAAAGGCCAATGCAATTCTGGGCTGCATCAATAGGAGTAGAACATCTAGATCAAGGGAAGTAATAGTGCCACTGTATTCTGCTCTGGTCAGACCTCACCAGGAGTACTGTGTCCAGTTCTCGGCACCACAGTTCAAGAAGGACACTGACAAACTGGAACGTGTCCAGAGGAGGGCAACCAAAATGGTCAAAGGCCTGGAAACGATGCCTTATGAGGAACGGCTAAGGGAGCTGGGCATGTTTAGCCTGGAGAAGAGGAGGTTAAGGGGTGATATGATAGCCATGTTCAAATCTATAAAAGGATGTCACATAGAGGAGGGAGAAAGGTTGTTTTCTGCTGCTCCAGAGAATCGGACACGGAGCAATGGATCCAAACTACAAGAAAGAAGATTCCACCGAAACATTAGGAAGAACTTCCTGACAGTAAGAGCTGTTCGACAGTGGAATTTGCTGCCAAGGAGTGTGGTGGAGTCTCCTTCTTTGGAGGTCTTTAAGCAGAGGCTTGATAACCATATGTCAGGAGTGCTCTGATGGTGTTTCCTGCTTGGCAGGGGGTTGGACTTGATGGCCCTTGTGGTCTCTTCCAACTCTATGATTCTATGAACTGTTGGAAAGCATAGAGTGATGGGCGTAAGAGGGAAGGTCATTCCCTCTCAAGTGCTCCTGCCCCTCAAATGACAGAGAGTAGCAGTGCTACCAACAGAGCTTCCCCTGCTGACCTTAACAGGCAAACAGATTCATTTGGGAGAAGGCACTCTTTCAGATACAGCAGACCCTTGGGTTACATTATTCTCAAGTAACGTAAACTTCGGGTTACGAAAGCGGTAAACCGGAAAGTATTTTTCCAGGTTTTGCCACTCACGCATGTGCAGAAGCGCTCTATCGCACTGTGCGTGTGCGCAGAAATGGCGCCTCTGGATACGGGTTTTTCGGGGTGTGCATGGACCCCCCCGGAACGAATTAGTTTTGTATCCAGAAGGTCCACTGTATTTGGGGCTTCATATTTCAATGTTAGCATCTTTAAACCGGGCTCAGTAATGAATTGGCAACTAATGCAGATCACAGATTCGTAGAACTGTAGAGTTGGAAGGAACTGTAAGAGTCATTTAGTCCAACCCCCTGCAATGCAGGAATCACAGCTCAAGCATCCTGGACCTCTAGCTTAAAAACCTCCAAGGAAGGAGAGTCCACCACCTTCCCAGGTAGTCCACTATCGAACAGCTCTTACTGTCAGAAAGTTCTTCCTAAGGTTTCTCTTCCAAAACCGTTGTGGTACGTACCCAGCTAGAAACATTTGCCAGCAGCCTTGCTGCTGCATCTTGCATTGAGTTGCAGCTTCTGAGATGGTGAACCAACTGTAGCTTGAAATAGCCTTTTCCACCGAGAGCACTGCAACCCTGAAGGGAACTAGCCATCTCCCAAATTCCTAGGCTCAAGAACCTGCAAGAGACTGTGCTTCAATCTTGGCTGGATTCAGCTTCAATTTATTGGACCACAACCGGCCCATTACCACCTCCACTACCACTGCCTCTCCTGATTCAGATGCACCAAGAGAGAGCGATGGGTATCATCAGCATAGTAGCTGACATGTCACTCCAAATACCCTGATGACATCTCCCAGTGGCTCCATGCAGAGGGGCAAGATAAACCTTTGGGGAATTGTAAAAACAAGCTCCCAAGGGGTAACCCCCCAACTGTTACACTCTGAAACCAGATTCAAAGGCCGGAATGGAACCATTTTAACAAAGTGCCCACAAGTTCCCAGACTCGGGAGCTGCTCCAGGAGCATGGCTTGGTCAACAGTATTGAAAGTTGCGGTCAAGAAGAATCAAAAGGGCTGCACTCTCCCTGCCCCTCTCTGAACAAAGGTCACCAACCAGCGTGAGGAAGGCAGTTTTGGTGCTGCATCCGATTGCAATGGGTCCGGATACGACGCTTTTCCAAGTATGTCTTTAATGGGATCACCACACCCCCCAGTCTGTCTCCAGCAAGCTCCAGCTGCAGCCCTTTCCCTTTGCTTCCTCATCGACTTCTAACCTGTTCTGTGTTTCTTTGGAGTAGACCTATAATTTTTCAGCTGCCGTCAAAGCCAAATTGTTGCCCGCTCAGACACAATTGCTTCAGCCAACGCTAAAACACAACAACCTACTCCTTCCTCTAAAGGACGCAAGTTTCCTTTCCTTAAATGTGGGGCTTGCATCCCAAATCTCCCATCCAGCACAGCCTCCTGCTACCTCACTAGAGCATATTACTGTCTCTCATGCCAACAAACTGTTTTAAGTGAAGGCCTTCAAGAAGCTGCGTCATCTGCGGCTTGGCTTTCCCCCTCTCTGCCATCATGTACACTCCATGGTGGCTGGCAGCCAGGCAGCCTAGCAGCCTCCAACTCCATTTCCACAACCAAGCCACTCCCACCAGCAGAGGCCTATGAGATCATGTTCTTCAAAAACTTCTCTCCTGCCAATCAGCAGGAGTTTGGTGGGGTGGCAGATTAATGGAGGCCACAGGAAACAGAGAGGGGTTATTTGGTTTGCAGACTCCACATTCCCCCCTGCTAATCTGAATGAGCCATATACACCAAGTATCATTCCTAAAACAAACCAAAATTAAACATTATAGAACAGTCAGATGCACAGGCATTTAATTTTCCACGGCACAGAACCAGTCTCTAACTCTTTGGAGCTCAGCCTCTCTTCTTCTTCTTCTAATAATAATAATAATAATAATAATAATAAAAAGCCTTCTGAGAGTAAAGCATTTCTTTCTCAAAAGCGGAGTTTCATATTTGAGGTCAGTAACCCTAAAGTTTTGACATTCTTGCCTGCAGATTTATTTTCCCCTCGGCAATCTGCGCAAGACGGTCAACTTGACTGCAATGCGTTTCATAACGAAGGAAACGGGGGGAAAGTATGACATGCTTACATATCGATCTGTTTATGTTTACAACATAAATGCCACATTTTAGAGCTTGAGAGTCTTTATGCTGTGCCCAGTACTGCGATTCCACAAGCGCTGATCAAGAATTTCACTTTGTCTGATGAGCTTCCTTCAGTAAACACAAGTAAACCACATGAAAAATGTGATCCGGAATGCTGCCACGCCCAGGAAGAGTCACATTCCAAGGCAAACATCTGATGTCTTCTCACTCGACTTCAAATGCCAAATGCCCCCTCACTCTTCAAGAACAAAATCACCAGTTTTCTGAGGAAACTAAGATAACACTCAACATTTCAACTGCATATAAAAAAGGCCTGTGTTTTTCCATCTCTCTCACCCACGTTCCTTTTCCTGCAAATTGCAAGTTTGCAAACATTGCCCTGGCTGTATTTAAAAACCATTCACAGAATTACCCTTCGAGAAGACAACACAGAAACACACACACAGGTCACCAGGCATTTGTGAATGCTCCCATGGCCTTGCCTCAGAAGTCAGCAGACAACTTGGCTTCTCTCTCAGGAGGAGCTTTCTGGAACTTGCTTGGAAGAAAATACCCCTGACACCTTACAATAATGACCTATATGGACCAATAGTCCCACTCTCTTCAAGGCAGCTTGAGATGCTGAAAGGTATTTATGCACAAGTAGATCCTTGTTTACTGCCAGCAGTATGACACATGTACACACAAAAGGTGTACTTCGGAATGGCCAATTCTGGAAAATAAGCTCAGATACTTGCCTGAACTATGCCTTCCCTGATTCTGTGACATCCTTTGGGCAAGGTCTGTGTTATGTTCATAGTATCTGTATTCCTCCTGCCCATGATCCCCCATCTGGTGCCGCCTCTGACCATTGTAAAAGTGGTGGTCATAATAGTGACGGGATCCGGCATCGCCGTTTTCAGTTACAGAGTTTGCCTCTGTTAAAAAGGACTGGGAAGATACGCCGTATTCCCGCGGGACGTCGGCCAGGCTCCTGGCAAGGTAGGAAGGGGCAGAGAGTCTGTTGCTTTCCCGCCTCACTATCTCGTGAGGAGGCCTCTGCACTGGAGTCCGAAGGAAGCTCTGGTTTCTGGAAACTGCTCCATCCCCACCCGCGGCGTAGGAAGAAGAACCCGGCTCCAGAAGGCAGAGATCTGTTCGTCTTGGAATGGTTGGACCATGACGGATGAATGAAGGCATCAGATCTGCAACAGAGCATTGCAGTAAAAATTGAAAGGCCTCAGCATGGTCAAAGTAGGCACATTATTTCAGTGAATTTTCAAAACTACTACATTTGTGGGGGAGGCAGAATTGAAACATGGTAGTAACAATTTTCTTTACAGGATTTTATTGTACACTGACTTTGGGAGGCATTTCATCTAGGAATTGGTTAGTAAGTTCTATAAACAGGTTCAAAGCAGAGGGGAAATATCTCGGCAGAAATCTCTTCTTGCAAATATCCAAAAAGTAGTCAAGCAATTTTCAGGATACAACTAGAATGTGGTCCCCAATAGGGTAAGGCAAGTCCTTGGCCCCCAAAAGATCTCCCAGCCCTGTCAAAATCCCCGCCCCCTGGAACCTCCTTCACCCCATTCCATTAGCTGCCAATGTGGTGATCTCCAGATGCTGGAAACTACAACTCCCATCAGCCTAAGGCAGCAAGGCCAATAGCCAGGAATGATGGTGACTGTTGTCTGAAACATCTGGAGGACACCACATTATGTGGCTAACCCTGCCCTAGGGTGTAAATTACACTGGGGTTGTATGTATGTAAATGAATAATGGAAAAAATACAAAGGGAAATCAAATGCAAAACAAACCTACGGTGAAAAGTACAAAAAAGCAAAATAGTGAAAGGTGAGGTGTATGTGTTACCATGCTCACTATCTGGCTTTTAGGGAAGGAAAACTGCCCTTCTGCATCTTGCTCCCCTCTGGTTTCCCTCCTCTCTGTCCCCCACTGCCTGCCCTGCAGCCATGTGTGCCAACTTAGGATTGCACTTCAGGCACAAAGCACAGGGTCTACCCACAAGATGTTCATGCCACAAATACGTGTGGTGAGATTTAAGGTGCCACAAGGCTGTGTTTCCATTTACGTGTGTGTGCACATACATGTGTTTACCTTCAGCTCCCTGTGTCGTTCAGAATTCCTAACTCCTTTTAACCGTTGCAACACATTCAAAACAGGTGCTGAACACTGCAGATAACCAGAACCCTCCTTTAACCTGGGAACAAACCCCACTGAATTCAGCAGAGCTATGACTGCAACCTGAATCTTCCGAGTGCCGGTGCAAACCCTGGTCTCCATACTGCTCCCAACAATAAACCCACCCACCACCACAGATTGAAGCCATTCATGCACACACCCCTTCATGGGAGTTTTTTTGCGCTGAGGGGCTGGACGGTCACCTGCCATGGATACTTTCTTTGCACTGGAGGGGGCTAATGAGCCCTTGGGTGTCCAGTTTCCTAGGATGGGAAGGGGGTGGGCTCTCCTCTGTTGGAGGTTTATGAACCACAGGTGTTGGGTGGCCACCTGCCACGGGTGCTCCAGCTGCACCCATCCCTGCACTGCGGCAGCGGCAGCTGTTTGGGCCAGATTGGGGGGGGGGGAGAACCACGTATATGCCGCGTTGAGCTCCTTCGAGGAAAAAGCGGGATGTAAATGTAGTAATAAAAAATGATTCATGGGGAAGAGGGGAGAACACTCCTGAGCTATAGCAGCCGGCTCCTAGGGGCCAAGGTCCCTTCACCCCCAAATAAAATATGTGAGGGGGGCCAGCCCTCCCCAAAGCACATGACCATTTAAATGGGGTGCATCGTTGAGACTGATTATGTGGGAGTGGGGTCAGTGCTGGATTTACGTATAAGCTAAACAAGCTATAGCTTAGGGCCTCACACCCTTGGGGCCCCCACAAAAAATTTAAAGGGAAAAAACCTGGATGTACATTTCCAAAATAAGATAAATAATAAATAAAGTGAATAATAAGAAACAGGTTGTGTGTTAGTCTATTGTATTGCAAGGCTTTAGATACCTATTAGCATAAAATACCATACTACTCTGTTAAGAACGTAATCGTTTGTAGTCCGTCTAACTGAACTGTCTAACCTGCACCACTAGCTAATGGGCCTCTGCTGCTGCCCGCCAAGCACAATTTCTGTCTCATCTAAGCAAAGTTATTACCCAGGTAGTATTTGGTAGGTGTCTGTAACCTAAATGAACTGAACGACTTACCGAGTACACTGTATAGCATATACAAAATAAATAAAAAAAGTTCCTTCCAGTAAGCACCTTAGAGACCCAACCAAGTTTGTTATGTGGATGAGCTTTCGTGTGCATGCACACTTCTATGCAGGCACACGAAAACTCACACCAATAAAACTTAGTTGGTCTCTAAGGTGCTACTGGAAGGAACTTTTTATTATTATTGTTTTGTTTCAACTACGGCGGACCAACACGGCTGCCCACCTGTAACTAGACATATAGCATATATTCAACACAAAAAACAGTGACCATTTGTTGTTGGCAAAGGACAGCTGGGCATATCAAGGGCCCCATTACCCCCAGTAGCTTAAAGTTAAAGGGACCCTTGACCATTAGGTCCAGTCCCGGCCTCCTCATACCTAAATCTGCCCCTGGGTGGGGCTTACCTGTCCCCTCAATATTTTAATCAAGTTATCCCCCAGCCTCTCCCCCCACCAGGCAGCTCCTTCCCCTCTGGAGACCAGGTGGGGCCAGGTGATGTTGATACAGTGGTACCTCGGGTTAAGTACTTAATTCGTTCCGGGGGTCCGTTCTTAACCTGAACCTCTTCTTAACCTGAAGCACCACTTTAGCTGATGGGGCCTCCTGCTTCTGCCGTGCCGCCGGAGCACGATTTCTGTTCTCAACCTGAAGCAAAGTTCTTAACCCGAGGTACTATTTCTGGGTTAGAGGAGTCTGTAACCTGAAGCGTCTGTAACCTGAAGCGTATGTAACCCGAGGTTACCACTGTATTTCTGGGTTAGTGGAGTCTGTAACCTGAAGCGTATGTAACCTGAAGCATATGTAACCCGAGGTACCACTGTATTTCTGGGTTAGCGGAGTCTGTAACCTGAAGCGTCTGTAACCTGAAGCGTCTGTAACCCGAGGTACCACTGTATTTCTGGGTTAGCGGAGTCTGTAACCTGAAGCGTATGTAACCCGAGGTACCACTGTATTTCTGGGTTAGCGGAGTCTGTAACCTGAAGCGTCTGTAACCCGAGGTACCACTGTATTTCTGGGTTAGCGGAGTCTGTAACCTGAAGCGTCTGTAACCCGAGGTACCACTGTATTTCTGGGTTAGCGGAGTCTGTAACCTGAAGCGTCTGTAACCCGAGGTACCACTGTATTTCTGGGTTAGCGGAGTCTGTAACCTGAAGCGTCTGTAACCCGAGGTACCACTGTATTTCTGGGTTAGCGGAGTCTGTAACCTGAAGCGTCTGTAACCCGAGTACCACTGTACTGAATTGCGGGCCCCCCCCCGGGGTTTCATCTGACCCCCCCCCACCCCAAACCCCCGGGGAGGAAGGAAGGTCTTGCGCACTCACTGCGGAGCAAAGGGCTGGTCTCCTTGATCACGTACTTGCCCTGCACCTCGCCCGGCTTGGAGAGCTCGGCGCGCGTTTTCTTCCGGGACAGCATCCCCTCCCCCTCCGGCGACGCCCCCTCCCTCAGCCCGCCGCGCCGCCGCCGCCGGAGCCGGGCCCCTCCCGGAGGGGGGCGCCATGGGGCTCAAGACGCGGGGTGGGGGCCCTTCGGGGAGGGGGCGACACCAGCTCCCTTTCCCGGCTCCCCTCAGCGCCTCACGCAGCCCCGCAGGCAGCCGAGGAAACTTTCTGGCCACGCCCACCGCCCCGGCGCCGCCCCATTGGCTGGCCCGCGCGAGGGCCGCTGGGAAGGCCGCGCCGAAAAGGGGCCCCGAGGAGGAGGAGGAGGAGGAGGACGGAGAGGCGCGGCGGCGGCGGCGGCGGCGCAGAGAGGACGGAGAGAGAGGAGGAACAGCGCCCCCCGCGGCAGGGAGGCGGACTGCTCTGCGCCCAGCTGCTGCTGGATTATACTGTATACGTACCGTAATATAATAATAATGATAGTAGTTAGAGGTAGCCGTGTTGGTCTGCCGTAGTCGAAACAAAATTTTAAAAATTCCTTCCAGTAGCACCTTAAAGACCAACTAAGTTACCAATAACTAAGGTGCTACTGGAAGGATTTTTAATAATAATTATAATAATTAATTAATTAATTAATTAAAATTATAATTATAATAAACAACTTTATTACTTATACCCCGCCCAGCTGGCTTTGTCTCCCCAGTCACTCTGGGAGGAATTTTAATAATAATTATAATTAATTAATTAATTAATTAATTAAAATTATAATAAACAACTTTATTACTTATACCCCGCCCAGCTGGCTTTGTCTCCCCAGTCACTCTGGGAGGCTTCCAGCAGGAGTTTACTTTGCGTACTGCCCTTCATCCAAAGATCTCAGGACGGTGTACAGCATAAAATGGAAAATAAAACCAAGGAAATTATAAAAACAAGAACAAAACAAACCAGTAGCCCAGTTCCAATAGTTATTTATTTATTTTCATCTGTTTTTATTACACCGCTTGATTATAGATAAACAACCTCAATGCAATTTGCAAAAGCGATGACAAACCTAGACAGCATCTCAAAAAACAGAAAAGAAAGATCTGTATGGTTTTCCCAGGAGTGATGTATGGAAGTGAGAGCTGGACCATAAAGAAGGCTGATGGCCGAAGAATGGATGCTTTTGAATTATGGTGCTGGAGGAAGACTCTTGAGAGTCCCATGGACTGCAAGAAGATCAAACCTCTCCATTCTGAAGGAAATCAGCCCTGAGTGCTCACTGGAAGGACAGCTCCTGAGGCTCCAAGACTTTGGTCACCTCATGAGAAGAGAAGATTTTAATCTGGGCTCCATGATCACTGCAGATGGTGACAGCAGCCACGAAATTAAAAGACGCCTGCTTCTTGGGAGAAAAGCAGTGACAAACCTAGACAGCATTTCAAAAAGCAGACACATCACCTTGCCAACAAAGGTCCGTATAGTTCAAGCTATGGTTTTCCCAGTAGTGATGTATGGAAGTGAGAGCTGGACCAAAAAGAAGGCTGATCGCCAAAGAATGGATGCTTTTGAATTCTGGTGCTGGAGGAGACTCTTGAGGGTCCCATGGACTGCAAGAAGATCAAACCTCTCCATTCCTAAGGAAATCAGCCCTGAGTGCTCACTGGAAGGACAGATCCTGAAGCTGAGGCTCCAAGACTTTGGCCACCTCATGAGAAGAGAAGACTCCCTGGAAAAGACCCGGATGTTGGGAAAGATGTGGCACAAGGAGAAGGGGGCGACAGAGGACGAGATGGTGGGACAGTGTTCTTGAAGCTACCAGCATGAGTTTGACCAAACTGCGGGAGGCAGTGGAAGACAGGAGTGCCTGGTGTGCTCTGGTCCATGGGGTCACGAAGAGGCGGACACGACTAAACGACTGAACAACAAAGACAGCAAACAACAAGAAAAACATTCTTTGGAACGCTACAAGAAAACACAAAAAAGATTTTTTTAAAAAATACCCAAACAGGTTAAAATGCACACCAGCTTGCCTTCCCTTTTTTAATAATAATAATAATAATAATAATAATAATAATAATAATAATATAATAATTTATTTAAACCCCGCCCATCTGGCTGGGCCTCCCCAGCCACTCTGGGCGGCTTCCATAGAAACCAAAAATACACTAAAATATCACACGTTAAAAACTTCCCTCAACAGGGCTGCCTTAAGATGTCTTCTGAATGTCAGGTAGTTGTTGTTCTCTTTGACATCTGCTGGAAGGGCTTTCCACAGGGCGGGCGCTACTACCGAGAAGGCCCTCTGCCTGGTTCCCTGTAGCTTTGCTTGGTAATTCCCTTATTCCGAATAGGATTCCTCGCAAGAAAAGGGAAAAGTTGACAGCTATGAACCCTGTCCTTTGCTGTCTCTGAAGCCAGGAAGTCTGGCCTTCGGTTCCCAAGGCATGAGCCGCAGAGGGTTTGCTTCCCACGATATGACACAAGCAAGACAATTGCCCTGGTGGAGATTCACATGGACCTGGGAAAAAGTCAGGTCATGGCTGGCAGCTGCTACCTGGAGATGGTGGGGATTGAACCCGGACCTTCTGCATTCAAAGCCGGTGCTTTGCCGCTGAGCTACCCTCCTTCCCCTCAGTCCACTGGCTTGAACAACTAGACTGTTGTTGCTATTTTTCTTAGCACTGTAAATAATGCGAATATCGATTTAGTACAGCGTTCTTCTGCTGCCATCTCCTGGCTGAAGGGCAATCTGGGTTTTGTAATCCCGCTGCTCAGCTGCTGAGCGCCAGCCGGGCATGGTGTCTCCTGCCTGTGATCCCAGCTCCTTGGGAGGCTGAGGCTGGAGGATTGCTTGAGTCCAGGAGTTCTAGGCTGCGGCGGGCTACGTGGAGCAGGTGTCCTCGCCAAGGTCAGCATCAACATGGGGGCTCTCTGGGGAGCCAGGGGCTACCAGGTTGCCTAAGGAGGGGCGAACCGGCCCAGGCTGGAGACAGAGCAGGCCAAAGCTCCCGTGCTGAGCAGTGGTGGGATTGCACCTCAGAGTAGCACCTGCAGTGTTAGCCTGGGCAAGAAAGCAAGACCCAGCCTCTCTCTTTTGGAGGCTTTTCATGTCTCTGAGCATGATGTGATTCCTTTTCTCAGCACTGGCAGTGATATAGTGGAAGGTGTTGTAGGAATTCTAAGGTCTCTGAGATATATATATCTCATATATAGGCTGATCGCCGAAGAATTGATGCTTTTGAATTCTGGTGCTGGAGGAGACTCTTGAGAGTCCCATGGACTGCAAGAAGATCAAACCTCTCCATTCTTAAGGAAATCAGCCCTGAGTGCTCTCTAGAAGGACAGATCGTGAAGCTGAGGCTCCAAGACTTTGGCCACCTCATGAGAAGAGAAGACTCCCTGGAAAAGACCCTGATGCTGGGAAAGATGGAGGGCACAAGGAGAAGGGGACAAAAGGATGAGATGGTTGGACAGTGTTCTTGAAGCTACCAACATGAGTTTGACCAAACTGCGGGAGGCAGTGGAAGACAGGAGTGCCTGGCGTGCTCTGGTCCAGGGGGTCACGAAGAGTCGGACATGACTAAACGACTAAACAACAACAACATATATAAATTGTATGTTCCTAAATGTACAAGGCAAATACATACATCAGTGTAAACCACAAGTCTGAAATAGTACAGGAGAGCAATCCTGAAGCCATTTTGACTCCTCCAGTGACCTCAAATAATTCTCTGCAGTGAGGAAAGAAATGGGAAAAGCCTCCCCCATTCACTGGCGGAGGAATGGGGGTGCAGGGGGAGCGTACCGCCCCCAGTGGAACAATCCCGGTGGGGTGCCATCGTGGGTGCCCCCCTGCTGGGCACCACGCCCCTGCAGGCGGCGCACCACATCTCCAGGACATGTGCCACGCCCCTGCAGGCAGCGTGCCATGCCCCCATCTGCTCTCTGCCCCCCCCCCGCCAAAGCTTGAAGCACCGCCACTGTCCCCATTGTCTCTTTACTCACAAATCCTGTCTTAAGGGGGTATATGTGCATGAATAGAGTGAGCCTGTGACCTGGATTCAGGAACTAAACTATTAACCATCACAAAAGAATGGCCAGGCTGCCCAGGTAAAGCAATCAGTGACCATTATCAGGTATTCTGGCAGACAGGATTTCTGCTGTAGACCGCCTCTTCTGCTGTAGACCCGCCTCCTTCTGTGATGTATGTATGATGTTTTTGGGGTGTGGTCTTGAGCTACAGGATGGCAATTTCAAATGTCTATATAAGGGCTTGCACACCATTGTTCTGGGTCCCTCCTCCCTCCTGCATGTGATGAGTGAGCACCCTGTTTCAACAGTTTAATAAAGATCAGGCTTATGAGCTGCTTTGCTTCTCAACATTCTCTGGTTGGCCTCTGTTATTTTCTCCTACCGATAGAGAACCTACTTAAGGCCTCTATACAGGCTCTTGAACACCCCATAAGGGAAAAGGAGCAGTTTTTTCTTATAACAAAGGGATTTGGAGGAATGCAACTCTGGGACATCCCCCTGCCCCCCTGAGCAGGAGCTATACCATCATCTGCTGGAGCACTCCTTGCTCTGACGGTGATAAAGAGGCTTTCAAGTTTGCTCAGAGGAAGTCTCAGACTGAGAAATAGCCCTGAGCCAGAGGCTGGGACCTCCTTCCTCTTTTTTGATGGGTTTCCCCTTTCGCACGAGCAGTTTTACAAACAGCAACGCTTCTTTGCAAAATGGTTTGCGTTTTTTATTTTGAACTTTTTTTTGTTCGTTTGTTAAAGGCTCAAGGTGTTTTACACGTTTTGCAAACTTTTATGGAACGAAACGCAGCCGTCACTGAAAACGGAAAGAATCTGCACAGTCATGGCGGAAATGACTGGCAGAATCCGAGACCAGGGAGAAGAGTCGGTGGAAGAAGATTGGAAAAAATTCAAAGTATATTTACAGAAATATTGCAAAATTAATGAATGCTAGAAGGATGCTGGAATGAAGTTATATGGCTTTAGCAGAAATGTTATAAAGAATTAAGTAAAAATAGATTGTTAATGGGCCAAAGTGGAAAATTTAAGGTTAGATTGTGTTAAGAAAAATTATAGAACAAAAATTGAGAAAGATGGAAAGGATTTGCTGAAATAGCTAATTTGAACTAGAATACAAAAAAGGGAGGTGTGAGGAGGTCCATGAAACAAGTAAATGAAAGGTAAAGATACGGAATATTGGATGTGTTTTTAAATGTTTCTGTTTTTCTTGTTGTTTTGTTGTATTGCTTTTTGTTTTTGTTTTTCTTTTTGATGTATTGTAAGGTATTGTTTTGTTTTGTTTAACTTTTTATTGTCTCTCTTTTCTTTTTTCTGTAACTATTAAACCTCTAATAAATACCATTTAAAAAACAAAAAAACAAAAAATGACAACGCTTGCCTCATTTTATTTTATTGATTTATATTTATTGCCCGCCCAAAGGGCTCAGGATGGGATAACAAGGCAGCAAACATGCCTGAGAGTTACCATTAAAATTAGTCCCAGCGGACCTAGCATAGCCCAAGCACACAGAGGTAACCCTACCCAAGATAGTCCATGTGAATGAAAACTAGGTTTGCAGTGCTTCCAAAAGAGTCTCAGGCTAGGACTTTGCCGAGCCTCTATGGAGCATTTTTTTCACCACGCGGCTGTTTCTCAGGGACAAATAGTTTCCTTGCCCCTAGAGTTTCAATCACTTCATGGGTATAAAGAACCATAGATGGTGAATGGCTTGATTCCCCTAAAACTGGCACCCCCAAGGAGTGTGTGGGACTTGCCCCTCTAAACAGGTTAGGGCAGGGGTCTGCAACCCGCGGCTCTGGAGCCGCATGTGGCTCTTTTACACCTTTGCCGCGGCTCCGGGGCGGATACTAGCAAGGGGAGGAGGCGCACTGTGCACCCCGACACTCCCCACTGTGGCGGGCGCTGTACTGGCTGTGACTTCACATGGGGGCGGTGCGTGCATTAGTCACGCACCGTCCCGACGTCACCTTCCCGCCCGCTGTCAGATCGGAGGGCAGCGGCGCGCATGCAATGGTTTTGCGGCTCCCAGTTTTTTTTCCTTCGGAAACGGGTCCAAGTGGCTCTTTTTGTCTTAAAGGTTGCAGACCCCTGGGTTAGGGGAATGCACCAGCTCAATTGCAGGAAGAGGAATAATAGAATTGTGGAGGGACCCCATGAATCAGCTCGTCCAACCCTCTGCAATGTAGGAATCTCAACTGGTGCCTGGTCTCTGTATTAAGGCAACTGGTGGGTTTCAGCACTCACACCCTCCAGGGTACAGAAGTATTGTGCAGTATTAAACTAACAAGCCTTGGACGTGGACCAGAGGGCTCCCTGCTCTGGCTGGCTGGCGATGGGTCTCCCTAGCAGCAACTCAGTAGAGGGTTTGGTGCTCACGTTAAAGTCCAGAAGAAAGGACTCATGCAAAGCTACATGGCTATAGGATCCGTGTGCTGTTCCCTGAGCATTCCCCTCTGGTGTTGACACGGCAGAGGTGAGGCCACAGCTAAATGCACAAGTTAAGGCATGTTCAAGTTTCATTATCTCTAAGCTGCGGTCCACGGCAGGGTGGCCAACGACTCTCTGCAACCTGAGGGTGGAAAGGCTTCTCTTAGAGCTCCATTTTCCCATGGAAAATTGCCATACATTTGGCAGTAATGACAACCAGGCGCCAGCTGCAAATAAGTATCGGGCAAACTTGGCGTTTTACGAAGTTGTCCGCTTCGTTCGTAAAATAAAATGTGTAAAATGAACCGGCTGAGTGAGATCACTTAGGTCATCAGAAAACTTTCAGATGCAACTGACCCCTAATTTGCACGGGAAATTTCCCAGGAAACCCACAGGATTGATGGTGCCCAGCGGAGTCATGGGACTGTTTAACCTGACCTACAATGATCAGCCGTGACTCTCAGCAACTACCCAGAATGCAGGCATAATTTGTTATGTACTGAAGTTCTCACCCTGGGCCAGCAGGGGGAGACTGTAGATAGTTATGCAAATAAGGGATCGAAAGTGACGTTCAGTGATTGGATAGTTTTAGAAAATTGTTACAGTTACGTTGTACTGGAGCTCTATAGAAGCAGGCTGGCTGAACCCTTCAGTTCAGTTCTGTTCTGGCCTCTGAATAAACAAGAGCTGTTTGAAGAATCTCTGTGTCGTCTGATATGTTCACCCACAACTTAACATAATTTTTATTTGCCCTTATTTGCCCCATAGTGGGGCGGTTATACACAACCCCGCTTTCAATATTGTTTGTGCCTGCAGAAGTTTTGGAGTTGGGCATACTTATTTATCTCCAGTCCCGTAACTTTTTCGAGCGCCCCTCCAGACAGCTATAAAACACTGGGGAAACATTGCAAAATAATAACACAGAAGGAAGGGTGGGTGGTCCAATGTTACTCCACTACGAATGCACTATTATTGCGTCAATGGCATGTTGCAGAAGACACCCGTGGAAAATGTCAGGAACTGAAAGCAAGGCTGAGAATGTGCCCTCCAGGGTGCGCACCACACGTTTAAAACACTCGGACCCCATTAACTGAAGCACCTATCCTGAGACGGCATTCACAACTGTTCATTTGAATATGTGCATGGAATTCAGGGTAATTGAGAATTTTGGTATTCACAGAATTGAAGAGTTGGAAGGGACCCTTGAGAAACATTTAGTCCAATCGCCTGCAATGCAGGGATCGCAATTCACTTGGGGGGCAGATGAATAAAAATGGTCAGATATGCCTTAAAAACCAGACAGGCTCAATAAAGCCTTTATTTGTGAAGGGGGAGCTACTGCTGTTCATGAGTGGCCATTTGATATGGTACTGCCATATACAGACTATGGCTCCCTGAGATTCTTGAGGTTGAGGCAGAAACTGGCTGCTTGCACCAAGTGCCTTTGACCACCCAACGATGCCCCTTCCGATCTGCAAATCAATTATTCCCCCCTCCCAAACAGTTTGCAGAATTCTGTGGGCGCCACCTGCAGAAAGGAGGGGCTTAGGACCTCTGCTTGGCTTCCGTTTGTGGTGGGCAACCATCTCCCCTTGCCCACACAACCACCCCACAACCCCAAGATAAGCTTCTCCTCTTTCTGCCACACTGACTTTGGGGTGGGGGAGGTGGTCTGAGGTGAAGAGATCCACCTGTAGGCTCCCCTTAATCCCAAAAGGCATGGGTGGGGAACCTTTTCAACCCAAAGGTTGCAGGGCGATTTGGGCAGGGGGCGAGGCGTCTCAGAGGCAAAAAAGCAGGGAGAGCATTGGATGCAGCCATTACACTTATGTAAAGTAGGTACTCCCAGTAGTGATGTATGGAAGTGCCTGCTTCTTGGGAGAAAAGCAATGACAAACCTAGACAGCTTCTTAAAAAGCAGAGACATCACTTTGCCAACAAAAGTCTGTATAGTTAAAGCTATGGTTTTCCCAGTAGTGATGTATGGAAGTGAGAGCTGGACCATAAAGAAAGCTGATCGCTGAAGAATGGATGCTTTTGAATTATGGTGCTGGAGGAGACTCTTGAGAGTCCCATGGACTGCAAGAAGATCCAACCTCTCCATTCTTAAGGAAATCAGCCCTGAGTGCTCACTGGAAGGACAGATCGTGAAGCTGAGGCTCCAATACTTTGGCCACCTCATGAAAAGAGAAGACTCCCTGGAAAAGACCCTGATGTTGGGAAAGATGGAGGGCACAAGGAGAAGGGGACGACAGAGGACGAGATGGTAGGACAGTGTTCTCGAAGCTCCCAGCATGAGTTTGACCAAACTGCAGGAGGCAGTGGAAGACAGGAGTGGCGTACTCTGGTCCAGGGGGTCACGAAGAGGCGGACACGACTAAACAAGAACTGTAGGTACATTCCAGGCACATGAAAGCCAGAGATATTCTCTCTCTCTCTGGGATGCACACAGGCACCTCACAGCCTTATACAGACCATTGGTCCATCCAGCTCAGTAATGCCTACACCAACTGGCAGCAGCTCTCCAGAGCCTCTCCTAGCCCGACTGGGGGTGGAAGCTGGGACATTCTGCTTGCAAGACAGATGCTCTGAGACACATCTCTTCCCTAGAGGGATGCACAGCCATGCCTGTCTCCTTGCAGACACGCAGAAGGAATTATCCTGCCCTCATGGGCACATTCCAGCCAGGATGCTCAGGAGGTGTGTGGAGCAGGGCTGGGGAGGGCCTGTAGCCAGAGGGGCATCTAGAGAGGCAAGGATGGGGTGCAATTGGTTCCCAGGCCTGTGGCTCCCCACCCTTGATTGAACGTTCTCCAGGCTTGGTTCACCTGAGCAACGTGGCCTTTTCAGCAGTGATGCTCGTGGGCTATGAGGCGCCCTGAGGTCCACGTTTGGATCCTGGCCCTGAGATTGCCTGAAGAGATCCATCTCCAGGCCTCCCCTTCATCCCCAAGAGCCTGAGGATCAAATCTCCCTTGTCCTCAGCTGGTCCTCTCTGCTCTGTCCGTGTCCCATCTGTTTTCTCACCTCCACTGCCCCATCAGATCAGGAAAGGAGAACCTCTAAGAGCTCTGGCTTTTCCTGAACTCCCTGATGAGAAGATCAACCTCGGTCTGGCCACCTTCTAGGTGTTGCTGGCAGAGCAACATTGCGCCACAAGGCATGTGGGGATAATGTGCACCCGAGAACAGAATCAGGGTTTCTTTGGGGCAGAGAAGGAACAGCCCAAAGGGCAGCCGTTGTCACTAATCTTAAAAAGGCAGCGTTGAAAAGGCAGCATTGAGTAAAGTGCGTCCCCAGCTGTGCAGAGACAGGCGGGTATGGCTTTGCTAAGACCCCAGCTGAGCCGCGGAGCCCAAGGTGGGCGAGGTCAGGTTCTTGACGATCCGGCCAAGGTTGGCAATCTTTTCTTCCAGCAAGTAGTTCTTCTTCTCCACAGTCTTCTGCCTCCGCTCGGTCATCTCCAGGGCCTTCAGGAGCTGGGCGTTCTCCACAAAGAGGTCCTTCACCATCTCGTCGGCTTTCGTGTTCTTGGCAAGCTGGAAAACACAGGCAGCAAATGTGGGCTTGCTCCCCAAGGGTGCAAAAACAAGGTCTGTGTTCTGTAACGCTCTGCCCTGACCCCACAACCCCAGGAGCTCATCCCAACTCAACCCGAAATATTCATGTTGTGCGCTTTTTAAATGTTTGGTTGTAATTGGCTTAAAAGAAGAAAAGGGAAATTCCTCACATTTCTAGATCCAGGTTTGGGACAAGTACTCCCTTGATGAGAGGCAAGCAAAGAAAAGTGTGCAAATATAATTTGTTAGACTTTACAATATCCCCTTCTAAGTTTCTTTCCAAAGTTCCCCTTTCTTCCCTTAGCATTGAAAGAGACCACCTGTTTGGTAAGTTAAAAATGCTTTACTTACTAACTCTTCAAAGGTCAGATTCATATGCTTTTCCATACAGCAGCAAGACAACACAGGCAGCAAAACTTAGTTTCAAAATTGATAAATATTGCTAAAAATGCTTTACTTACTAACTCTTCAAAGGTCAGATTCATATGCTTTTCCATACAGCAGCAAGACAACACAGGCAGCAAAACTTAGTTTCAAAATTGATAAATATTGCTAAAAATGCTTTACTTACTAACTCTTCAAAGGTCAGATTCATATGCTTTTCTATACAGCAGCAAGACAACACAGGCAGCAAAACTTAGTTTCAAAATTGATAAAATTATTTGTATAGAAACAGAAAGACGACTTGGTAAAGCCACACGGTCTGGGCTTAGATCAATTCACCCAGTTTTGCCAAATTTTTCTCCCAAAGTAAGGGGTGGCGGGTGACCTAGCAAAGCCTGGGAGGATGGCTTACTCTGTGGTCTTAACCCCTTCATGCATTTACTAGAACTAAGCATGCTGGTTATTTGCGGCTGATATTTATCCCACATATTGGTGATTCCCTGAGCTGTTGAGGAACCATCGCTCGATGACTGAAACAGGAGCGGGAACCATTTGCGTTCCAGTTGTTGCTGGACTCCAACTCCCATCAGCCCCAGAAGCCAGCATGACAAGTGGTCAGGGATGATGGGAATTAGAATCCTGCAACCACAGGTTAGCTGCTCCAGATCGAGGGCAAAGGCTCACCTGTTCTTTCAGCTGATTGACTTTGTCTTGGAGCAGCCTCTTCACCAGCCTCAGCTGCTGTTCAACATCCATCATGCGCTTTTCCATGGTTTTGAGCAGATGCTCTTGTCCACCCTAAAATGGAACATAAGGGCGCATTATGAAGACTCAGTCCTGCTAGGCTGCAGGGCATTTAACTGGTCTTTTTCAAAATTAGTTTTTATTGAAGATTTTATTGTGTTGCAAAACAAATAACAAGGAAAAGAACAATTTAAAACACACACCCAAATAAACAACACCCACCCAAGTTTAAACCCCATTCCATGGGTGTAGCCAGAATTTAGGGCATGGACAGGCGTGGGGGGGGGGGGCAGAACTGAGCTCTTGCAATGTGACTGGCCATTTAGTTACAGTAAGTATTTTCATATGCCTGTTGTCTTTGTCTATGGAGTTTTCTTGGCAGGGATACTGGAGTGGCTTGCCGGTTCCTGCTCCAGGTGAATTTGAATTCTGGTGCTGGAGGAGACTCTGGAGAGTCCCATGGACTGCAAGAAGATCCAACCTCTCCATCCTTAAGGAAATCAGCCCTGAGTGCTCACTGGAAGGACAGATCCTGAAGCTGAGGCTCCAATACCTTGGCCACCTCATGAGAAGAGAAGACTCCCTGGAAAAGACCCTGATGCTGGGAAAGATGGAGGGCACAAGGAGAAGGGGATGACAGAGGACGAGATGGTGGGACAGTGTTCTCAAAGCTACCAGCATGCGTTTGACCAAACTGCGGGAGGCAGTGGAAGACAGGAGAGCCTGGCGTGCTCTGGTCCAGGGGGTCACGAAGAGTCAGACACAACTAAACAACAACAACCCAAGTTAAAACCCCATTCCATGGGTGTAGCCAGAATTTAGGGGGCAGGCAGGCAGCAGCGGGGGGGTTAGGGTCTCTGCAATGTGACTGGTCATTTAGTTACAGTAAGTACAGTTTTTTCATCCTTTTACTTGATTCGGGTGGTAGCTGCCTCCCTGCACCCGCTGGCTATGTCCCTGTCCCATTCCCACTAAAACCATCATTTTAGGACAAGGGGGCTGGCCCATGCCCTCGTTCCACTCCCAATGTGCCACCCCCAAAAGGGACAACTCCCTTTGGTGGCAGCCCCTCCCCCAGGGCAGGCGGGCTTTATGGAGCTGCCCCAGTGACTGGCACATGCCCAGCTGGGGCAGCAAGTGTTTCTGATGCTGCCTGCCTGCGCAGGGTGCTGGTAGCTGGATGATGGGAGTTGTAGTACGACAACATCTAGAGAGCCACAGGTTTCCCCCCACCTCTCATCTGTGTTGTCCAGCATCTCGTTTGCAGCCGTGACCAGCCAAAAGATGGGAAACCCAAAACAGCCCTCCCCTGTCGTTCGCCCTTCCAGAATGTTATCTCAGGGTAGGCTGCCTCTGTACATGGAAGGTCCTTTTAACTTGTGGTGGTTTGTAGCAGTTGAAAGACCTTTCTCCCATGGATTGGCCCAGTCCCCCTCTGGAAGCCAACTGAGCTGGCAGACATCATCTCAGGAAGTGGCAGGAAATGCCGTAACTTGCTTAATGCTCTGCGTGAAAGGTCTTTCTGCCAAACAATCGACTTAGTCATGCTGGCCACATGACCCGGAAGCTGTACGCCCTCGGCCAATAAAGCGAGATGAGCGCCGCAACCCCAGAGTCGGCCACGACTGGACGTAATGGTCAGGGGTCCCTTTACCTTTTACCTTAAAGGTACCCCTGCCCGTACGGGCCAGTCTTGACAGACTCTAGGGTTGTGCGCTCATCTCACTCTATAGGCCGGGAGCCAGCGCTGTCCGCAGACACTTCCGGGTCACATGGCCAGCGTGACAAGCTGCATCTGGCGAGCCAGCGCAGCACACGGAACGCCGTTTACCTTCCCGCTGGTAAGCGGTCCCTATTTATCTACTTGCACCCGGGGGTGCTTTCGAACTGCTAGGTTGGCAGGCGCTGGGACCGAGCAATGGGAGCGCACCCCGCTGCGGGGATTCGAACCGCCGACCTTTCGATCGGCAAGTCCTAGGCGCTGAGGCTTTTACCCACAGCGCCACCCGCGTCCCTATCACCTTTTACCTTAGAAACCAACTAAGTTTGTTCTTGGTATGAGCTTTCGTCTGCATGCACACTTCTTCAGATACACTGAAACAGAAGACACCAGACCCTTATATATAGTGGGATGGTGTTTTTCTCAGAAGGGTAGTAGGAGATGGGTGATTGACTCAATGGCTATGGTAAACCTGTTGACGACTGTTAATGACTGCAATTAGTCCTATAGGCAAAAGCAAGGGAGATAGTGGATTCTTGTCTCCCTACACATGCTAAAGATATTTTGGTCATCTGCACACCAGACCTTCCTTGCTTTTTCCTGGTGATATTTCTGTTTCAGTGTATCTGAAGAAGTGTGCATGCAAATGAAAGCTTATACCTAGAACCAGGGGCATCTTACCCTTAGAGGCTAGTGGCGCAGGGCGCCAAGTTCTGGAGGGCGCCGGGGAAGAGGCAGAGGCTGGACGCGGCGCCTCTCACCATCAGCTCGTCGCCCTCGCCCGCCTCCGCCATGCCGCGCCGAAGCAGCGCCACGCCTGGAGCCTCCGTCTGCCGTGGCCACTGTGGCACGAAGCGTCCAGCTGAGCCGGGAGGCACCGCATTCAGCCTCTGCCTCTTCCCCGCCGGAGGAGCCGCCCTCCAGCCGCCGCCCACCTCCTCCAGCCCCGCCGGCAGCGCCATCCTCCCTAAAATACTCTGGGAAATGTGTGTGTGTGCACGCCGGAGGGAGCTTTGCACCACGGCGCCTGATATGCTTAAGACGGCACTGCCTAGCACAAACTTACCGTATTTTTCGCTCCATAAGATGCACTTTTTTCTTCCTAAAAAGTAAGGGGAAATGTCTGTGTGTTTTTATGGAGCGAATGTGTGGTCCCTGGAACTGAATTGCCCAGGGGCAAAAAGAAGATCCTTTTTTTTGGAAAGAGGGAAGTGGGTGTCGTAACAAAGCCGGTGATCATTTGCTGATCGGGGAGAGAGATAAGGGACACTAGAGATAAAGGAGGCTGCCTGGGAGGGGGGAGGTAAAGACAGCAAACTTGCAAATGGGGGAAACAGGAAGACTAAAGCAATAAGGAGAGAAATTAGAAGAAATGGAGGAGCAAAAAACTGCTCCAGCTAAGGAAAAGACACTAAGGCAAACAAGAGGGAAGGGAGTGTTGAAAGGAAACAGCTGATCGGTGGGATTGGGAGAGAGATAAGGGACAAGACTGCCTGGGAGGGGGGGAGGTAAAAGCCCTTGGGGGAAAAAAAAAAAACCCTTGCAAAAATGTGGTTACAAAGCATGGATCCACATGGATCCTCAGGATTTTTGCACTGGGTCATAGGCGCCGACTCCATGGGGCTTGAGGGGGCCCGAGCCCCCTCAAAAATTCGTTTGGGGGGGCTCTGCCCCCCAATAATCTCCGGCGCCCCTCCAGCAGAGCGCCATCGCCGCCCCTCCCCCAGCCCAAAATGCACAGGGAGGGGCGGGCTGCATGCCTCCTGCCCTCCCTCCCGAGCAAAAGCTCCACCCAATTTCCTTTGGAGCTGATTAATAGGCGCAGCACGCTCTCCCCTATTCGCTCACGAGGAGGCGGCGCCACTTTATTTGCATATTCATGAGCTTATTTATTATTCATGAGCTTTCCCGGGCCCCCCCAATATTTTTTATAAGTCCGCGTCCCTGCACTGGGTCACCCCAAATTCACCATCAGATCACATGTCTGTGGCCACAGCATGAACCACAAAAATCAAACATCCAGTTTCATTCAGAATATTTTTCTTATTTTCCTCCTCTAATAACTAGGTGCGTCTTATGGTCAGGTGCGTCTTATGGAGCGAAAAATACGGCAGTTGGTCTCTAAGGTGCTACTGGACTATTTTTTAATTTTTTATTTCGAATGCGTCAGACCAACATGGCTACCTACCTGAACCTGGTCAAATCTGACTGTTGCTTCAGACTCAGCCTTTCCAATTAAGACTTTAGCCTAATAGTTACAATAAGCCCTAAGGCAGGGAGTGAGGAACCTCTTTCAAGTTGGGGTCCGCATTTCCTTCTGAGCAATGTTCCAGGGGCCACCTGGTGGTGGTGGGCGGAGCAAGAGGTAAAAGTGGGCGGAGCAACATACATTTCTACAATAGGGGTGTGGCCTGAGGAGAGGGGGTGTGGCCTGAGGAGAATTCCAAGGGCCTGGAGGGCATAGCTGTCAACTTTTCCCTTTTTAAAAGGGAAATTCCCTTATTCCGAATGGGATTCCTCGCAAGAAAAGGGAAAAGTTGACCGCTACGCTGGAGGGCCAGATTGAGCCCCTGGACTGGAGGTCCACCCCCCACCCATGGTTTAGTAAGAGAAGAAGACACACACATATTTAAAATGTGTATTTTATTTGTCCAATTAAAATAAAAAAGTGTAGCTCTTTCCCCACTTAAAAAGTATTGATACATCTTGTACAAAACTTTGTATAAATAACCCAAATTTTCTCCTTCAAATCCAATATATAAAAAATTTGTACCTTTTCGTTCAAAAAATAGTTACAGCATAAAATTTGAGGGCAAAAAAATAACGTTTCTCTTTCCAAACTCCCCTGGATAAGCCATTTTTAAATAACATAAATAAATAAAAAAAACACAAATGAGTCATAAGAAATTTAAGAAGAAAAAAAAGTAGACAATAGCGTGTGATTCTCTCTTTTTTTCCCCACGCACAAAAAGAAACAAAAATAGATTATGAGGAAAAAATAAATAAGAGGGAAGAAAACATAATACTGGAGAGGTTTTAAATTAAAATAACTTGTTTTTTTTAAAAAAACGAAGCAAAAAAAGAAAAAGAAAAAGCAGTTTGATCCCTGGGTTTCTCCGCTTATGCCAGTATTTGTGAGTAAGGAATGAGGTGGATTTAGCAGCCAAGGGAAGTCAGAGGTGACCGATCCGTCTGTACGTATCTGCGTGAACCGATCTCTGCTCCGGAAGCAAGGCCTAGGGAGAGAAGGCAAGGAGGACACGCTTCACACACAGCCTGTTGCAAAACAGCACGTCACAGTTAGTAATGCAGACAAACAGCGCCGCTTAAGCCATCGCAGCAAGACAGACACATCAGCGAGCGCTGGGGGATGAAGAGGAAAGGACAGCAAGCCCAACATTTAGGGAAGAGCAAGCCCAGCTCCCGAGGAATAGCAAGCCTAACATGCAGGGGAAAATTGCAAAGAACATTTGGTTAAAGATTAGTCTCAGCTGTGCGGAAAGGGCAAGCAGTGCGACACCTGTGTCGTTATTTCCACGGGGGGGGGGGCGGGAACTCGCCACGCAAAGCCACTTCCGCACTTCAGAGGAGGTGGGGTTGCGGGCTTCACGGCCCCAGCCCCACGGGATTGGGGGGATTCCTGGCCGTGTCTCCTCCTCTGTGAATGCCCCATCCTATTTTTTATTAAAGATTCATTGGTTTACCAAAGTACCATATTTATCACTCTATAAGACGCACATTTTCCCCTCCAAAAATTAAGGGGAAATGTGTCTGCGTCTTGTGGAGCAACGCGAAGCCTCCAGAGCACAGTGGGAGCGCTCCCGCCGCGCTCTGGAGGCTTCGCGTTGCTTTCGCTGAATCCTGGAGAGCGAGAGGGGTCGGTGTGCATCGACCCTTCTCACTCTCCAGATAGCCGCCTGAAGCTCCCGCTGCGCTCCGGAGGCTTCGTGTTGCTTTCGCTGAATCCTGGAGAGCGAGAGGGGTCGGTGTGCATCGACCCTTCTCACTCTCCAGATAGCCGCCTGAAGCTCCCGCTGCGCTCCGGAGGCTTCGTGTTGCTTTCGCTGAATCCTGGGGAGCGAGAGGGGTCGGTGTGCATCGACCCTTCTCACTCTCCAGATAGCCGCCTGAAGCTCCCGTTGCGCTCCGGAGGCTTCAGGTTCCTTTCGCTGAAGGGTAGGTGCCCCTTCGGTTAAGGCGCAGCGCCCCTTCAGCTAAGCAGGAGGAGAAATGGAAGGGGCTCCATTTCTCCTGCCGCTTCGCTGAAGGGGCGCTGAGCAGAGAGGGGGAGATTTTTTTTTTCTTGTTCTCCTCTTCTAAAACAAGGTGCGTCCTCTGGTCAGGTGCGTCCTATAGAGCGAAAAATACGGTATGTGCAATGTCTCTTTTTCCAAGTTGCATTTTCTACAGATCAGTTTCATTGGTTGAGACGTGAGCGTTACATTAGGAAGAAAAGGGGGGAAGAGGTGGAGGGGGCCATGGTTGGTGGCTGGGGGTGGAGCCAGGGGGGGCAATGTTTCTATTTTACTTAATGTATGTGTGGGGTTTTGTGTCAGTGTCGCTTATGCGGGTTCTCTTTGCTATTCGCTTGTGTTCCTTTGGTGGTGAGAGAGGTTGGGGTTGGCCAAGGTGTGTGGTTGTTCGTTTGTGGTTGGCTGTGGTGAACTTTGTTTTCATGTGTGCATGGTGTGTGTGTGTGTTTGAATCAGGTTAGCCATATTGATTTGTCTGCTGTCGGCGGATTCTTGTCATCTTGTTGGGCTGTCGAAACAAAATAAAAAAATTCCTTCCAGTAGCACCATAGAGAGCAACTAAGTTTGTTGTTGGTATGAGCTTTCGTGTGCATGCATACTTTTTCTATTCTTATTTTGTTTCAACTACGGCAGACCGACATGGCTACCTACCTGTAACTAGAACTATTGTTGGGCTGTGTATGTGATAAAGGGGAGCCATACCGGGGTGAAGGCGTCTTCTTCTATTTGTCCCCATGTCAGTTTCAACTTATTGGTTAATTTTCTAGTAAGGCTGTTTCCCATACTATTTGGTACCATTGGTGAATGCTTACTCCTGAAAGGTCTCTCCAGTGTCTGGCTATGATGTTTCTGGCTGCTGAGAGCAGGTGGGTTATGAGCTCTTTGTGATGTAAGTGGGCATTATTGTCTTGGAAGATGTTTAGTAGGGCCAATTCTGGGGTAACTTCTAAAACTTGCTTAGTTATTTTGCATATTTCTCGTATGGTTGTTGTCCAGAATAGTTGAATTTTGGGGCATTCCCACCACACGTGGAGGCCTCTTTTAAAGCCATCCCAGTGGGTGGCCTCCATTGGCTCCTGTGGGAGAGAGTTCCACAGTCCATGTGCTGCGTGAAGAAGTACTGTATTTTCGCTCTATAGGACACACTTTTCCCCCTTCAAAAATTAAGGGGAAATGTGTGTGCGTCCTATGGAGCGAATGCAGGCTCCTTGGCTTCAGCGATAGCAACGCGAAGCCTCCAAAGCTACGCGTTGCTTTCGCTGAAGCCGGGAGAGCAAGAGGGGTTGGTGTGCACCGACACCTCTTGCTCTCCAGGCTTCAGGGATAGCCACCTGAGGCCTGTGGAGTGCAGCGCGGGTTCCCGCTGCGCTCCGCAGACTTCGGGTTCTTTTTGCTGAAGCTGGGAGAGCAAGATTCTCCTGGCTTCAGCAGAGAGGGAGAGCTGCGCAGCGCCCCTCCAGCCAAGCGGGAGGAGAAATGGAAGGGGCTCCGTTTCTCCTGCCACTTCGCTGAAAGGGCGCTGAGCAGAGAGGGGGAGAATCCCCCCCCCCGTTCTCCCCCTGTCACCCACAAATACAAGATGGGTGACACCTGGCTTGAGAGCAGTACATGTGAAAAGGATACAGGAGTCTTGGTTGACCACAAACTTGACATGAGCCAACAGTGTGACACGGCAGCTAAAAAAGCCAATGCAATTCTGGGCTGCATCAATAGGAGTATAGCATCTAGATCAAGGGAAGTAATAGTGCCACTGTATTCTGCTCTGGTCAGACCTCACCTGGAGTACTGTGTCCAGTTCTGGGCACCACAGTTCAAGAAGGACACTGACAAACTGGAACATGTCCAGAGGAGGGCAACCAAAATGGTCAAAGGCCTGGAAACGATGCCTTATGAGGAACGGCTAAGGGAGCTGGGCATGTTTAGCCTGGAGAAGAGGAGGTTAAGGGGTGATATGATAGCCATGTTTAAATCTATAAAAGGATGTCATATAGAGGAGGGAGAAAGGTTGTTTTCTTCTGCAGAGAAGCGGACACGGAGCAATGGATTCAAACTACAAGAAAGAAGATTCCACCTAAACATTAGGAAGAACTTCCTGACAGTAAGAGCTGTTTGACAGTGGAATTTGCTGCCAAGGAGTGTGGTGGAGTCTCCTTCTTTGGAGGTCTTTAAGCAGAGGCTTGACAACCATATGTCAGGAGTGCTCTGATGGTGTTTCCTGCTTGGCAGGGGGTTGGACTCGATGGCCCTTGTGGTCTATTCCAATTCTATGATTCCCCCTCCTATGGTCCGGTGCGTCCTATAGAGTGAAAAATACAGTACTTTGCCCCACTTTGCAGAAATACAAATCCTGCGGGTTGCCCGGGACTCCACGGTGCCTTTTTGGCAACGAAGAGCCGGCTACAGATATTGCAAGTGAACAAACAAACAAAACACAGATCACAGTAATGCAGGGGCGTCATGCTTTGGTGCAACAAAGAGAAGGATAGTATCTACGGAGCATTTTAGGGAAGACTGGGGTGGGGTCTGCAACTGGCATAAACAGAGAAAAGGGTCACCGTGATGAGAAGAGGAGAAATGGAGAGGCGCCTACTGTAGGTGAAGGCTCTCTACGCCCCAGGACCACGAAGGGGAAAGAGAAAGAGTGTGTGGATGGAGGACATACCTGGGGCATGTTCGTCTCCAAGGGCCGGTTTTCGAGCTCCTCCTGCAGGCGCTGGCACCTCCTCTCCTCCTGCAGGAACTGGCGCTGGAGCTGCTGGTACTCTTCCCAGGGGACCACAGGGCAGCCTTGCTGCTGGAGGTCGCGAGGATGCTGCGACGGGCTAAGCATCACGCTGGAGCTCGAGTGTAGCAGCTGCTGCGCGAGAGGAAAGGGGCAGGAGGGAGGGGGTTAAAGGACGCCTCGCAAGGACACGATACGATAATCTTTATTGTCATTGTCCCATACGGAACAACGAAATTGAAGATCTACATCAGACATTCAGAAACCAGCAAGCCTGCTATCCCAGCTGTCCCAGCCTGGTTAGCCCCCTAAAAACTCTGATACCCCATAATTAAATACAATATACTCCCATAGAGACTACCTTAAAAAGGTAAAGGGGCCCCTGACCATTAGGTCCAGTCGTGACCGACTCTGGGGTTGCAGCGCTCATCTCACTTTACTGGCCGAGGGAGCCGGCGTACAGCTTCCGGGTCATGTGACCAGCATGACTAAGCCGCTTCTGGTGAACCAGAGCAGCGCACGGAAACGCCGTTTACCTTCCCGCCGGAGCAGTACCTATTTATCTACTTGCACTTTGACGTGCTTTCGAACTGCTAGGTTGGCAGGAGCAGGGACCGAGCAACAGGAGCTCACCCCGTCGCGGGATTTGAACCGCCGACCTTCTGATCGGCAAGTCCTAGGCTCTGTGGTTTAACCCACAGTGCCACCCGCGACCCTATACTCCCATAGAAATGCTTTTAAGCATTTCATCTTGCTGGCTGGCTCTGCACGTGGACTCTGGGAGAATGGGGGATTCTATCTCTTTCCCTTCTGCTGCTAGCTACAGGGCTGGCTGTAAGGGTCTGGCTTTTGTGCCTGCGCAAAACCCCTGGAACCAAACCTGCAGGTAAGATGCAATTACGCTGTGCTTAAAAACACAAAGCATTTCTCAATCGCAGCAACGTTAGAAAGCACACATTCACTGACATTCTGTGTGGAAGCCCAGAAACCCCTGGGAACTGCATTTCCTGGAGACCTCAGAAAATCCAGACATGCAAATGTCAACGTGCTCATTCCAAGAAAGGCATGCAAAAAACAAGACCATGAACGAGACCAACGGCAACTGTCACAAATGGCATTTCCAAGAATGAAAGAACAGAAAATGGGATCTCAGAGCCACTCTTCATTCCCACCCCCCAAAAAAACTGGTTTCGAGTTTAAGAGAGCTTACCCAATATTCCTTGTAAGATCAAACTTAAAAGCTAAGGCTTAACCTTTTTCTTTCTGAGCCTACAAGAATCAACACTGATAGCCAATATCCTTCCATTTTCCCCTTTTGCCCATTAAAATGAAGAGCGGCTCTTTCACACAAGAGGCAGGCCAATCGTCTTTCGTATTAATTATTTAAAGAAATACCGTATTTTTTGCTCTATAAGACTCACTTTTTCCCTCCTACAAAGTAAGGGGAAATGTGTGTGCGTCTTATGGAGCGAATGCAGGCTGCGCAGCTATCCCAGAAGCCAGAACAGCAAGAGGGATTGCTGCTTTCACTGCGCAGCGATCCCTCTTGCTGTTCTGGCTTCCGAGATTCAGAATTTTTTCTCTCTTGTTTTCCTCCTCCAAAAACTAGGTGCGTCTTATGGAGCGAAAAATACGGTAGATGGAGGGGCATTAAAGGCATGGCGCTGAAGAGCTTTCTCTCACACACACTCGTTCTCTCTCTCTCTCTCTCTCTCTCCATGCATATGGGCTTATGGCAGTGGGAAAAGGTTTCCTCTACCTTCGCCGGCTACGTCAGGCAGAGCACTGCGCTCCTCTCTGCTAGCTCCAGCCACCCAGGTCTGGGCACAGGTTAGCCAGAAGTGGAGGGAAGCACAAGGGGGAGAGAGAAGGTTATGGGGCTTCCGAGGTAAGAAAGAGTCAAGGGAGAAGCTTGCACGGGGGGGGGGGGGGGGAGACGAACTAAAGGACAAGGAATATTGCACAGAAATCAGAAGAGCTGAGGTGGGGGAAGAGACACAAATGGAGCATCATTTTCAGGTCCACGGCCCACAACAGAATAGCATACAGGTCAGGAATGGGGGAGCCCTGATAAACCACAACTCCCATCGCCCATGATAGCTGTTCACAAGAGCGTCTCTGCAAATGTAGTAAACAGGAACCTGATACTTTGCAGCGTATTTTCTTTTCTTGTGATTTTGGCATTTATGCCAGAAGACAATTATTAGAGGCCTTACAACTCAATAGGCTGAATTCTATGCTACCAACAGTTCAGGACCTGCTTTCGGACAGGAATGTTCAAATTACTTTAATAGTGACTGAATTTTTGAGTGCTGTCCATGTAGAAAGACTGGGCCATTATAAAGAGATTTAGTGGTTCTTAATTGATGGGTGATGTGGTAGTGTTGTATTGTATTATTGATGCAAATTGATTTTCTCTGGAGTTAAAGTTCTGACTGGGACAAACATCATAATAATAATAATAATAATAATAATAATAATAATAATAATAATTTATTATTTGTTCCCCAGCCACTCTGGGCGGCTTTCACAAAGACCAAAAGTAAACTAAGATGTCACACATTAAAAACTTCCCTAAACAGCGCTGCCTTAAGATGTCTTTTGAATGTCAGGTAGTTGTTTATCTCTTTGACATCTGATGGGAGGGCGTTCCACAGGGCGGGCGCCACCACCGAGAAGCCCCTCTGCCTGGCTCCCTGTAGCTTTGCTTCTCGCAGTGAGGGAACCGCCAGAAGGCCCTTGGTGCTGGACCTCAGCGCCCGGGCAAAACGATGGAGGTGGAGATGCTCCTCCAGGTATACTGGACCGAGGCCATTTAGGGCTTTAAAGGTCAGCACCAACACTTTGAATTGTGCTTGGAAACGTACTGGGAGCCAATGTAGGTCTTTCAAGACCGGTGTTACATGGTCTCGGGGCTGCTCCCAGTCACCAGTCTAGCTGCTGCGTTCTGGATTAGTTGTAGGTTCCGGGTCACCTTCAAAGGTAGCCCCATTGCAGTAGTCCAAACGGGAGATAACTAGAGCATGCACCACTCTGGTGAGACAGTCCGCGGGCAGGGAGGGTCTCAGCCAAAGGCCTCTTCTTTAGCTGTATGTATTCTGTTGTGGGAGAATCCATCTCATAAGGACCGTCATCTCGTACAGCCCTGGAGTCCCCTTAGATCTGCAAGCTCAAATAAATAAACCCCTGGCCTAAATCCTCAAGCAAAACGATTCCCAGTTCATTTCTGACATCAGAAACGCACCATCTACTGAAACAGACCTCCATCACCTGTTCGTCCCGTTTGACTTGCTTCTTCCGTAGGCCTTCGTTTTCCAGATTGACGGCTTCCAGCTCGCGCTCAAGGGAACTCATCTGGCTGATCTGTCGGGGGATTTAAGGCTCGTTTTAGGAAAGATGAGGACGGAGCGGGATTATTTCGTTCGGTTAGAAGAAGAAGAAGAAAAGTTTGGATTTGATATCCCGCCTTTCACTCCCTTTAAGGAGTCTCAAAGCGGCTCACAATCTCCTTTCCGTTCCTCCCCCACAACAAACACTCTGTGAGGTGAGTGGGGCTGAGAGACTTCAGAGAAGTGTGACTGGCCCAAGGTCACCCAGCAGCTGCATGTGGAGGAGCGGAGAAGCGAACCCGGTTCACCAGATTACGAGTCCACCGCTCTTAACCACTACACCACACTAAGGCCAGGGCTTGTTTCGCTGCGGCCAAGCACCGGTTTACGTCAAAATAGCCGAAGTGCCTACAGGAGGATATTTCCCTGCATCCAGACAGCTCCCAATAAGAGCCAACATTTGCTCTGCCCGGAAGAGACTAAGGCAGAAGCCAGGGCAGCAAGCGGGGCTCCGTTCCTGTCCTGAGGGAGAGCTGCGCAGCGCCCCTTCAGCGAAGCGGGAGGAGGAGGAACAGAAGGAGCTCCGTTCCGCTTTGCAGCAGAGGCGCTGTGCAGCTCTCCCTCTCAGCGCAGTGCCATCCGCTCCATAAGACGCACTCACATTCCCCTTACTTTTTAGGAGGAAAAAAGTGCGTCTTATGGAGCGAAAAATACGGTATACAATCAGAGCAGATTGCAGCAATAACTCATAAGTTAAAACTGAGATATATACACATACCCGTACAACTGAGATTTGGGCTACCATAAAAATTGACCCTGAGGCACCCCAAAGAGCGACTTCAACATTTCCCTAGTAAGCTATTTTATTCTAGAGGATGATCTGTGCCTACAAATCTGGGCACAGAATCTGGCTACCAGCCAGGTCGTCTTGTGATCTTTGCCTAAGAATTAAGTTTAGACTTGCAGATTCCAATTGGCTGCAGGAGCTTCCTGCACTCGACTGGAAGCCATGTTGGCTGTTCGGCTTCCGAAAAACATTCACAAACCAGAACATTCACTTCCGGGTTTGCGGCGTTCAGGAGCCAAAGCCGAGTACCAAGGCATTCGAGAACCAAGGTACGACTTTGCTGCTCACGTAAAGTAAGGTATGAAGCCAAAGAACACTCCATCCCAAAAGATGGCGACAGAGACATGAACCGTGAACATAAGAGCAAAAAGAGAGAGCTTCACTGCTGGATCAGGCAGACGGCCCAGCTAGTCTAGCATCCTGGTCTCACAGTGGCTGACCTGGGGGAAAACCAGCAAGCAGCATCTGAGAACTAGAGCCCTCTCTCCTCCTGAAGTGTCCAGAAACTGGTATTCAGAAGCACTGCTGACTCCGAATGTGGAGGCAGAGAATAGTCGTAATGGTTAGTAGCCATCGATAGCCCTCTCCCCCGTGAATTTGCTGATCTCTAGGAAGTTCATATGCCGGTTGTCTTTGTCCATGGAGTTTTCTTGGCAGGGATACTGGAGTGGTTTGTCGGTTCCCGCTCCAGGTGGATCACATTTGGTCAAAACTCTCCACTATGACCTGTCCATCTTGGGTGGCCCTGCATGGCATAGCTCATAGCTTCTCTGAGTTATTCAAGCCCCTTCGCCACGGCAAGGAAGACAGCATCTTAAAAAGCAGAGACATCACCTTGCCGACAAAGGCCCATATAGTTAAAGCCATGGTTTTCCCAGTAGTGAAGCAGTACATATATTCTGGTTGGTTTTTTTTTGAAAAAAACCCCAAACAATTTTTTCCTATTCCAATTTCCAAACAATTATATTCCTATTTAATTTACTCTGGACTACTATGCATGCTCAAGTAGGAAATAGTTTCTTTGTAGTTGGACCTTGCCGACAAAGGTCTGTATAGTTAAAGCTATGGTTTTCCCAGTAGTGATGTATGGAAGTGAGAGCTGGACCATAAAGAAGGCTGATCGCCGAAGAATGGATGCTTTTGAATTCTGGTGCTGGAGGAGACTCTGGAGAGTCCCATGGACTGCAAGAAGATCCAACCTCTCCATTCTGAAGGAAATCAGCCCTGAGTGCTCCCTGGAAGGACAGATCCTGAAGCTGAGGCTTCAAGACTTTGGCCACCTCAGGAGAAGAGAAGACTCCCTGGAAAAGACCCTGATGTTGGGAAAGATGGAGGGCACAAGGAGAAGGTGACAACAGAGGATGAGATGGTTGGACAGTGTTCTTGAAGCTACCAGCATGAGTTTGACCAAACTGGGGGAGGCAGTGGAAGACAGGAGTGCCTGGCGTGCTCTGGTCCAGGGGGTCACAAAGAGGCAGACACGACTAAACGACTAAACAACAACAACAACAGGAAGTTCACAAGGAGTGTCAAGACAAGAGTCTTCTCTATCACTCAACTTCTATATCCCTCAACTTCTATGGAGCAACTGAAATTCAGAGGTATCCTGCCTTAGAACACGCAGGGCTGTATTCAGAAATGCTTCTTGTGAGCAGGTCCCTTGAAATTAAGGAACATGACTAAATTTCATCCATTCATTTAGAAAAGTCTACTACAGGGTGTTGAGATTTCCATTCCACCTTAAGGAGCAGACGTGTGGAACTGTTGCGTGTCACATGTCTGTTTACATTCCAGCACAGCTTGCTGGCAACTTCCGTTGTGTATAGCTTTTGTTTTTCCCGTTCTCTCTGAGAAGACGAGAGAGAGAGAGAGACGACATGTTTCTTTGTCCTGATTTATGATTAATAAATCTGTAGTTGTAGTATGCCCGGGTCACTGATTTATGTCGGAGCAGAGGCGATGGGTCTTCGCAGTGGGATGGCTGGAAGGAGACGGCCCAGCCAGGGCTAGCCAGCTGGCCTCCTGGCCCTCTGCATGTTGACACAGGGGTGCCCAAACTTTTTTCAAAGAGGGCCCGATTTGATGAAGTGAACATGCATGAGGGCCGACCAAAGTTGACGACTGCCACAGGGGCCGGATTCAACTGACCGGTGGGCCAGATTAGGCCCCTGAAACGGACTTTGGACATACCTGGTCTACTAAGACCTGCAGAATATCCAGGTGGTATTCAGCCACCTAACCCCCCGGTTCAATGGCCTTATTCCAGGCGAATCTACCTACAAATCTGTAAACGACAACTAGTTGCCTGTGGCGAGCAAGGACCGGCCCCAGGTGACCAGCCCAGAAAACTATTGGAAACTGGAAGAGAGATGCATAGGTTTTTGAAGGGGTGTGTGCTTGAGTGCTTATTTCTCACCCAGGTGACACAAATGCCACAGGCCTGTGTCAGCGTAAGCAGCAGAGTACAAACTTGTTTTAGCGTGCACAGATTTTGAAAAATAAAAAAGAACAAGATAATACATTTGAAGACCGGACTAATTGAGCGTTCCTTGGGAACAATGTAAGAGTTTATTCGCCACCCCATAACTTTTTGTTTATGCTGCAAGCTGCTCAGAGGGGCTGGGGTACAAATAATAAAATTATTATTATTATTATTATTATTGCCTGGAACTGACCTTCCAGTTGGCTGAGGCCAGCTCCTTCTGAAGCTTCTCGCATTCCCTCTTCAGACTCGCTTTCTCCTGCTCAATGGCGTTCACAATCCCTAAATGGCTTTGGTGTTTTAGGTGCTTCTGGGTCAGGATGGTGGATTCCAGCTGACGGATCTGGCAAGAGAAGAGGCCAATTCACATTCTGTTTATAAGGATGTTGGGAGAAGTGTTTGTGTGTGTGTGTGTGTGTGTGTGTGTGTGTGTGTGTGGAGGGGAGACAAACCCACCAGGAAAGCATTGTAGGCTGGTCTGATGGCCAGCTTTCATGAGCTGACTTTATGGGGAGTGTCCACATGCACAGCACAATCACACCTTACATTTAACACACACAATTCCAACCCATAATTTAAACCCACAACAATTGCATCTTACATTTAACACACACAATTTCAACCACAACAACCGCAGCTTACATTTAACACACACAATTTCAACCCACAATTTCAACCCACAACAATTGCATCTTACATTTAACACACACAATTTCAATCCACAACAACCGCATCTTAAATTTAACACCCACAATTTCAACCCACAACAACCGCATCTTACATTTAACACACACACAATTTCAAGGACAACAATCGCATCTTACATTTAACACACACAATTTCAACCCACAACAACCGCACCTTACATTTAGCACACACAATTTCAACCCACAACAATCACATCTTACATTTAACACACACAATTTCAACCCGCAACAACTGCCTGTTACATTTAACACACACAGTATCAACCCACAACAATTGCATCTCACATTTAACACACACAATTTCAACCCATACAAGGTCGAAGGTCACCTGGTTGAAATTCCACAAGTTAAATGCAAGCAAGTCAGGAGAGCTTAAAGGCTCTTTTTGCACCGGGTTTCCCCAGCATGTGGTTCCAATCAAGGTTCTGCCTCCGGCCCTGCGCACCTCTGGCATGCGGCCCCCAGAAAGTTCCCCACAAGATCTGAGAAAGGTTCTCTATTCCTCCAAGAGCAAGATATTTACCAGCTAGATATGAGGACGGACAGGCACGACACGCACACCTGGAAGGAATCCCCCATTTACCTTCTCTCTGGAACGAGCGAGGTCTGAGCTGGCGCTCTGGAGCTCTTGCTGGAGCCGCTCGTTGTCCTGCCTCAAGAGCTGCTGGTCCTGCTGGGCCAGAAGACCCACTTCGTCCCCCCAGCACAGCTGCTTCTGCTGGCTCTGCAGCCCCGCCGAATGCACGGCTGCTTCAAGGGCCCGATTCTGATGGGAAAGAGCACACACGGCACAGGGTCAGAGCGCGTGCGGCACATGGCTAGGGAGAGAAGGGCTGGCAGGGCCCAGGTTCCACACTGGCTCATTCTTGTAGCCAGGGACGACAACAACAACAACAACAACAACAATACTTTATTATTTGTACCCCGCCCATCTGGCTGGGTTTCCCCAGCCACTCTGGGCAGCTTCCACAATGACCCAAAATACACTAAGATGTCACACATTAAAAACTTCCCTGAACAGGGCTGCCTTCAGATGTCTTCTGAATGTCAGGTAGTTGTTTATCTCTTTGACATCTGATGGGAGGGTGTTCCACAGGGTGGGCGCCACTACCGAGAAGGCCCTATGCCTGGTTCTCTGTAACTTGGCTTCTCGCAGGGAGGGAACCGCCAGAAGGCCCTCGGAGCTGGACCTCAGATATCTGGGCTGAACGATGGGGGTGGAGACGCACCTTCAGGTATACTGGGCTGAGGCCGTTTAGGGCTTTAAAGGTCAGCCCCAACACTTTGAATTGTGCTCGGAAACGTACTGGGAGTCAATGTAGGTCTTTCTAGACCGGAGTTATGTGGTCTCGGCAGCCACTCCCAGTCACCAGTCTAGCTGCCGCATTTTGGATTAGTTGCACTTTCCAGGTCACCTTCAAAGGTAGCCCCACATAGAGCACATTGCAGTAGTCCAAGCGGGAGATAACCAGAGCATGCACTACTCTGGTGAGACAGTCCGCGGGTGGGTAGGGTCCCATCCTGCGTACCAGATGGAGCTGGTAGACAGCTGCCCTGGACACAGAATTGACCTGCGCCTCCATAGACAGCTTTGAGTCCAGAATGACTCCCAGGCTGCGCACCTGGTCCTTCAGGGGCACAGTAACCCCATTCAGGACCAGGGAGTCCTCCATATTATTATTAATATTATTCTGCTTGTGCGTTCTCACAATGGCCAACCAGATGCCTCTTCTGGGAATCCCATAAACAGGACCCGAGTCAACAGCCAGGCAGCCTTCTCTGTGAATTTGTCTAATCCTCTTTTGAAGCCACCCAACATGGTGGCCATCGCTACATTTATTGGGCTCAGAAGCCTTGATCAAATGAGGACCGAGAGAGAATGAAAACCCAATGAACTCCGCAAATGCAGGCTAGCAATAAAGCAAGCGAAAGAAGAATTTGAGGAGGAAGTTTGCTGAGGCCGATTCAAGGCCCACCTTATCATTGCTGGTCTGCAACTGCTTGTGTAAGGACATCACTTCCTGCTTCAGAACCTCCTTCTCCTGCTGGGACACCCTGAGGTCAGACTTGAGCCTGGAAACCTGGGCATTTTGCACAGCGTCATCAAAATTCTGCATCTGGGGGGGAAAAGGCCAGAGTGGAAGATCACCGTGATGTCAACAGGGTGAAGATCACAGTGATGTCAACAGGGTGAAGATCACAGTGATGTCAACTTACTGGATCTCCAAACCAGCAAGGGAGAAACACAGGGCAAGTTTGGAGGAACCCTGAAACCCACAACTCCTATTAAGTTCAAATTTCAGAATCAAATTTGCCAGTAAATTCTAGCTAAGCCATTTCAAGGTTTTGAAGTGTTCTTGTTGACGTGTAGGCCGACAGGAACACTGTGCAGAGACTTCAGAGGCGAGAAGCCAACACCACAAAACACACACCTTGTCTTGCGACGCTGCCTTCTGAGTTTTCAGAATCTGATTCTGGTGCTCCAGAGATGACTTCTCCTGTTTCAGGGAAGCGACGAGATCCTCCAGGAAGGCCACTTTGGCTACCTGCAATATGAACGCCAGGAGCTAACAGCAGCAGCAGAGAAAACAGGTTCCTCTCTTTACTTTCAACTTTCTTGGGCACATGAAACTAATTACAACTATCTTGAATTTCTGCTTATCCCTCAAGAAAGAAGGGCATTTTCGCTGGCCAGGTTTAATTCAAACCCATCAAACCTCCTTTGGGGCAGGTTCTCAGGAATGGTGGAAGGAGATAGAATTTGCCCATGTCAAGACCACCTGCTGGAAACTCTTACTCACATGGTCCTTAAATGTAAACTATATGTTGATCTCCGCCAGCAGTTTCCAGATCAACTCTGCATCCCCAAATGGAACCAGAGTTGGAGGTCATACATTTTCTATTACTGGGGAATGATCAGGAGCTCACCAAATTAGTGGCTAAATATCTTTATTTGGTTTTTTGTCACAGAAGCACGTTGCAGACGTCTGATCTCCCTGGAGACCTAGAGACGCTAGACTTTTTCGCCTCTTTTCATTTGACAAATGTTCTGTAACGTTGGGGAGGTGGTAATTCTGTATTGATTTACTATGGATGTTTGTAAAGGTAAAGGGACCCCTGACCATTAGGTCCAGTCGTGACTGACTCTGGGGTTGCAGAGCTCATCTTGCTTTATTGGCCGAGGGAGCCGGCATAGTTTCCGGGTCATGTGGCCAGCATGACTAAGCCACTTCTGGCGAACCAGAGCAGCGCACGGAAACGCCGTTTACCTTCCCGCCGGAGCGGTACCTATTTCTCTACTTGCACTTTGACGTGCTTTCAAACTGCTAGGCTGGCAGGAGCAGGGACTGAGCAACGGGAGCTCACTCGGTCGCGGGGGTTCGAACCACCGACCTTCCGATCGGCAAGTCCTAGGCTCTGTGGTTTAACCCACAGTGATGCCAATAAAAGGTTTGATGATGAGATGATGAGAATATACAGAGAGCACATGGGAACCATAAAGAGCTGCCTTGCGCTGAGCCGGGCCACTGGCCCAGCCAGTCATCTCTACACGGACTGGCAGCAGCTATCCAGAGTTTCTGCTGCAACGACCCTGTCAGGGAGGTTAGGCTGAGAGTGAGCAGCTGGTCTGATGTCTCACCCACAGAGCTTTCTGGGGATTTGAACCCTGGTCTCCCAGGCCCCAATCCAGCACTCTAACCACTACTCAACACTGCCTCTTGATGTAGCATTGCTGTAAACTCTCACCTTCTGCGCACATCTGTTCAGCTCCTCACTGAGGGCTTCCTTCTCTTTCAAAAGCTTCTCGTTTTTCACAAGGACGCCGGAAATCTCATTCTGGAGGTCAGAGAGGTCCGGGCACCTGGGAATCTGTGGAAGGCAGATATGTTTCAACCTGGGGGTACCTGCTTCTTCTCTGTGCCCTCCCCAGGCTGTGCTGCCATGGCAGACCACAAGGATGGTCAGCAAGGGAATCTATACATTTAAAAAAATACTTGTAAATATTCCCAACGGACAGGGGTGGTTCGTACACCCGTGGACATCCCTTGGTGGATTTGCATCAGTTAGATTTACAGTATTGCCTTTAGAGCCAGGCAAATATGTCAGTTTTGGTGTCTCTCAGTTTCTCATTTTTCCAAGCTTAAAATTTAGTCCTCCACAATTCAGCGTCAGATTGCGTTAAAAAGAAATCTCATGAAAATTCAACAACATTTTTGTGTGAATTTCCAATACATACTTTTTTAACGCAAGTTGGAGCAATGCAAACATTTTGGCAAGGCAATTTCCCCTAATAAAACACATTTTTTGCATGTTGTGGTCGCTCATAGATGTAATCTTATGTCCACTTCACCCTGGAATATCCATCTCTGTACACATTACTCGGCAGCACTGCAAAATTTGGAAAAGTGCAAATTTTGAAAGATGGATCTGTTTCGGTCCATCTGTTTCAGAAAGTGCAAATTAGGTAGACTCAGACTTGCTCTGTGGTCACTGTCCCACAGAAAACAAACTAGGGTTCCTATTGGGCACTTTGCTTTATATTCAGAATTTGGCCACCCTTAGCGTGATCTCTAGATCCTTGCCCTCTACCAGGAGTTTTAGACATTGAAGTTTAGACCCATTTGGAGATTTTTGTATAACAGGAGTGATAAATACTGAGTGTATATCCCCGTAGAAATGGCAGCGTAACAAGATGTGAGAGACAGTTTCTACCTCCATCAAGCCGCAGGGGCAGACACGTTCCGCGTATGGTTTACCCTTGAATCTGCCCTGCAATAAGGCAGATGGCAGCACATTGAATCTAGCGAGGGTAAATGACCGTCTGTTTTTAGGTATTTGTAATTTTGACAAATAATTTGCTGGGGTAAATCCTCTCCCATTATCTAGCAACTGCCATAAAACTTGGGGACACGGGTGGCGCTGTGGGTAAAACCTCAGTGCCTAGGACTTGCCGATCGCATGGTCGGCAGTTCGAATCCCCGCGGCGGGGTGCGCTCCTGTTGCTCGGTCCCAGCGCCTGCCAACCTAGCAGTTCGAAAGCACCCTCGGGTGCAAGTAGATAAATAGGGACCGCTTACCAGCGGGAAGGTAAACGGTGTTCCGTGTGCTGCGCTGGCTCGCCAGATGCAGCTTGTCACGCTGGCCATGTGACCCGGAAGTGTCTGCGGACAGCGCTGGCTCCCGGCCTATAGAGTGAGATGAGCGCACAACCCTAGAGTCTGGCAAGACTGGCCCGTACGGGCAGGGGTACCTTTACCTTTACCTAATTTTGACAAATAATTTGCTGGGGTAAATCCTCTCCCATTATCTAGCAACTGCAATAAAACTTAGGGAACAAGCTGTACTACCGAAATGATTAAGGTTTTAAATGACAATTTTAGGTTATATTTTAGTGATCAAGATTTAATATATATTTTTAACTGCTGCTATATCTGCATTGTCTCTGTTATAAAGGTAAAATCCAGACGTGACCGACGCTGGGGTTGCAGCGTTCATCTCGTTTTATTGGCCAAGGGAGCCGGTGTACAGCTTCCAGGTCATGTGGCCAGCATGACTAAGCTGCTTCTGGTGAACCAGAGCAGCGCACGGAAACGCTGTTTACCTTCCCGCCGGAGTGGTACCTATTTATCTACTTGCACTTTGACGTGCTTTCGAACTGCAGGGACCGAGCAACGGGAGCTCACCCCGTCATTGTGGGGATTCGAACCGCCGACCTTCCGATCGGCAAGTCCTAGGCTCTGTGGTTTAACCCACAGCACCACCCGCGTCCCAATGGCAATTCAATGTATTCCTGTTGTGTTTTATGATTTTCCTGATATTGTAAACTGGTCTGTGACCGTTATAATAAAATTCAATTTGCTTTATATTTCTCGGTCTTGGCTTTTATTCAATATTGCCATCTGGGTAACAAACGGCGTGTGTGGCTTCTCATGACACCCCTCCCCTGCCATTGCCCCTGCCCCTCCCCCCCTTGAGAAGGCTTACCTGCTTTCCCTTTCCCAGCTCTTCCTTGAGGAAGTAGTTCTCCTGCTCCAGAGCGAGGGCCTGAGCCCTGAGCTGAGACAGCTCCATCTCCAGCGTCGAGGACTGGGAGCAAAGCAGCAGGGAAAGTTAGGATGGCCTAGCCTGCCCACGGCTCGTTTACGTATACATTGCGCACAAAGACACAAAGACATAAAATGTTCAACTAAAGAAGAATGGCATGAAAAACGGATGGACTACGCTGAAATGGGAGAGCTAATTGAAAAATTTAGAGATAAGGACAATAGAGATTTTAAAAAAGACTGGGAACCATTTATGTTGTATTTAGAGAAACATTGTAAAAAAACAAAATACAGTCATACCTCGGGTTACAGACACTTCAGGTTGCGTTATTTTGGGTTACGGACCGCCGAAACTTGGAAGTACCAGAATGGGTTACTTCCGGGTTTTGGCGGTCGCGCATGCGCAGAAGCGCTAAATTGCTCTTTGTGCATGCGCAGAAGCGCCGAATTGCAACTTGCACGTGCGCAGACACGCCACTGCAGGTTGCAAACAATGCGGGTTGCGAATGTGCATCCTGCACGGATCACGTTCGCAACCCGAGCGTCCACTGTAAAAAAATTCCTTCCAGTAGCACCTTAGAGGCCAACTAAGTTAGTTATTGGAATGAGCTTTCGTGTGCATGCACACTTCTTCAGATACACTGTGAGAGGGTGGGTAGGGTATTACTCAGAAGGGTGGTGGGAATGGGTGATTGGCTGATAGGGGTGGTAAACCTGTTGACGACTGTTAATGACTGCAGTTGGTCTTACAGGAAAAAGCAAGGGGTGATATGGCTAAAAATAGCTATATCATGCATAATGAGGTAAGAATCCAATGTCTGTATTCAGACCAGGTCTCTCCATACTTTTAAGTTTGGTAATAAGTTGCAATTCGGCAACTTCTCTTTCCAGTCTATTTCTGAAATTATTTTGTAATATGACAGCTACTTTGAGATCTTGTATAGAATGTCCTGGGAGATTGAAGTGTTCTCCTACTGGTTTCTCTGTCTTATGATTCCTGATTGGGAAGAAGTGGACTCACTAGCAGGGTTTGACTAAACACTTACAATCAACAAAATAGAAAGACAAAGAGGTAATAACAGGAAAGTATTAAAGTATTAAAATGTAAGAGGTAATTTGAAAATAATCATGGTATAAAAACAACTGGAAATATAATAATATTTAATTTAAATGTTGAAATATTAAGGTATAATAAAATAAGCAGCAATCGACATCCCATAGAGAACACAGAAAAAGGTCTAGAAGATCAAATCCCTGCTGAATTACCCGCAGGATTACCAAGAAGGAACGGGATAATAAAATTTACAAATGAGTGCTTCACAATCAATAGCTCTACAAGGTTGCTTTGCTGTTTTCTCTGGCAGGACCTCATTATAAATCACCAAAATACCTGGATTTTCCAGTTTTCCAGTTCCTCCTGGAGCCAGGAGCCTTCCCTCTCCTCCGGCACACCCTTCTCCACCTCCTTCTGCCGAAGGACCTTGCGCAGCCGTTGGTTAAGATCTTGCGCATCCACCTGGTGGGGAGACGTTTTCCGGTCAAGCTCTGCGTTCTCAAACTCCAGCTGCTGATTCCGGGCTTTCAGTTCGGAGGCCTGATCAGAAAACAAGAGCCCAGGAAAGAAATCAATGGCAAGGAACCCTACTCAAATCCAAACCAGGAACAATTAATTGCACATTTATTCAAAATCCAATTAAAACTACAGGCAACTCCCAATTTACATGGGGGTTACCTTCCAAGGCACCCAGTATACCCGAAGGAGCATCTCCATCCCCATCATTCTGCCTGGACACTGAGGTCCAGCTCTGAGGGCCTTCTGGCAGTTCCCTCACTGCAAGAGGTGAGGTTAGAGGGAACCAGGCAGAGGGCCTTCTCGGTGGTGGCGCCCGCCCTGAGGAACACCCTCCCATCAGATGTCAAGGAAATAAACAACTATCTGACTTTTAGAAAGCATCTGAAGGCAGCCCTATTTAAGGAAGCTATTAATATTTGATGAATGATTGTACAGTGGTACCTCGGGATGTGAACGGAATCCGTTTTGCCGCTTCCGCGCATGCGAGTGACGTCATTTTGAGCGTCTGTGCATGCACGAGCGACGAAACCCGGAAGTAATGCGCTCCGTTACTTCTGGGTTGCCGCAGAGCGCAACCCGAAAGCACTCAACCTGAAGCACATTCAACCCGAGGTATGACTGTATTTTAATATTTTGCTGGAAGCCGCCCAGAGTGGCTGGGGAAACCCTGACAGATGGGCGGGGTATAAATGAGAAATTATTGTTATTATTAGTGAAATCACATATATTTGAAACTCCACTGAAAAAAGCCTGCAAACACCTCATTCTGCCCCTTTTTGTGACGCTTTTGGGTAACTTCCGGGTTTGGCGCAGTCACACACATTGAACATGCATAAATGTGTGTGTGGGGGGGTGTTTGCCTGTACTGCGTTTAATTGATTCAACAAACTTGATAAACTTGATCCAGCAATAGTCTGGCGTGCCCCCCCAGGGGGTGGAACCACTGATTTATAGTGTCTCCTCACAAAGATACAAAATGAAGACTCAGCTAAGGGCTTACCTGCTTTTTCAGGTTCTCGGCCATTTTTTGCACCGCAACTTTTTCTTTCTGCACAGACTCCATCTGCTGCCTGAGGTAAACGGAAATGTTACTCTTTAATATGCAGCAACATCGTCATTTGCCTTAAATAAGCGTGCATGCGTGTGCAAGGGAGCAGGAGCGCAAAGGCATCTTGGGTGGGAGCATGAATAACAGTGAAAAGAGCAGGAGCATCTCATAGCAGCTAAACTGAATCCTGATTGCTTCGGCCAGGGGTCCCCAAACTAAGGCCCGCGGGCCGGATAAGGCCTGAGGGACTCGTTTATCTGGCCCGCGGCGCCCCCGCCTGCTGCCGCTGCCCGCTCTTACCGGCGCTGCGCGGCTGCCCACTTCCGGGTCGGAGGAGCACCGGAAATAGCTTGTGCGCATGCGCAAGTGTTATTTGGGCACGCACAAGCATTATTTCAAGTGCACATCCGGGTCCGAGGAGGCCTGTGCACATGCGCACAAGCTATTTCTGGTGCTCCTCGTGTTATGTACTGAAGTTCTCATCCTGGGCCAGCAGGGGGAATACTGTAGATAGTTTTCACTCAGGTCCACATATGCAAATAGGGGATTGAAAGTGACGTTCAGTGATTGGATAGTTACAGAAAGTGGTTACAGTTGTGTTGTAGTGGAGCTCTATATAAGCAGGCTGGCTGAACCCTTCAGTTCAGTTCTGTTCTGTTCTGTGAATAAACAAGAGCTGTTTGAAGAATCGCCGTGTCATCTGATATGTTCACCCACAACTTAACTCCTCCGACCCAGAAGTGTGCCGGAAATAGTGTGTGCACACACGTATGGGCACGCACTCCCCTGCCGTCCGGGCGATCGGCGCTGGAGACACTGGCCCGAGGCGCGGGAAGTTTGCTGACCCCTGGCTGGGGCCATCAACACTTTGGCATTTATTGGACAAAATGCAGAACCCATCTAATCAAGACCAAAGACAAATAGCAAGCTTCACCTGTTCGGGTTCAGAGCCCATTCTTCCACTTCCGGGTCACTTTTCTCCCCTCAGGGCTGCTCTCCTTTGGGGCTGGATGTGGGCGGGGCCAGAACAAGTGGGAGGCGGGGCCAGAGCCAAAACCACGGGGCCACCCTCTTCTCACCATCTGTCACCTCCCATTTACCCCGCTACCCCCCGCAAAATTAAGCTGGGGGCCGCATGTGGCCTCCCTTACTGCTGGTTCCTCGCTTCCGGTTTGGAGAGACTTACCAGAGTTCTTCTCGAGACCCGTTGAGCTCTCTCAAGCGCAGGTCGCAAATGCTGCCTTCTTCGTTCATAAAGGCGATTTTGTTCCGCAAAAGAGCATTTTCCTCTCGGAGGCGATCCATCTCACCCCTGGGGTGCAAAAATAGAGAGGCGCTGAAGTTCCTGTGAATTGCTCCGGCCTCGATTTGTGTGTTGGGGTGTGCATTGCTTATAGCATCATCCCAGTGTTTTCCTAGCTGCATTGGGGAAATTCTTGACAGATTGACTCACCTTAAGCAAGGAAACTGAGTACCTTCCACAGAAAATTACAGTGGTACCTCAGGCTACAGACGCTTCAGGTTACAGACTCCGCTAACCCAGAAACAGTACCTCGGGTTAAGAACTTTGCTTCAGGATGAGAGCAGAAATTGTGCTCCGGCAGCGCGGGAGCAGCAGGAGGCCCCGTTAGCTAAAGTGGTGCTTCAGGTTAAGAACAGTTTCAGGTTAAGAATGGACCTCCGGAACGAATTAGGTACTTAACCTGAGGTACCACTGTACCATATTTTTTGCTCTATAAGACACACTTTCCCCCTCCTAAAAAGTAAGGGGAAAAGTGTGTGTGTCTTATGGAGAGAATGCAGGCTCCATGGCTTCAGGAAAAGCAACGCGAAGCCTCTGGAGCGCAGCTGGAGAGGCGCTGCGCAGAGAGGGAGAGAACAATTTTTTTCTTATTCTCCCCCTCTAAAACTGGGACGCGGGTGGCGCTGTGGGTAAAAGCCTCAGCGCCTAGGGCTTGCCGATCGAAAGGTCGGCGGTTCGAATCCCCGCGGCGGGGTGCGCTCCCGTTGCTCGGTCCCAGCGCCTGCCAACCTAGCAGTTCGAAAGCACCCCCTGGTGCAAGTAGATAAATAGGGACCGCTTACTGGTGGGAAGGTAAACGGCGTTTCCGTGTGCGGCTCTGGCTCGCCAGGGCAGCGATGTCACGCTGGCCACGTGACCCGGAAGTGTCTCTGGACAGCGCTGGCCCCCGGCCTCTTAAGTGAGATGGGCGCACAACCCTAGAGTCTGTCAAGACTGGCCCGTACGGGCAGGGGTACCTTTACCTTTAAAACTAGGTGCGTCTTATAGAGCGAAAAATACGGTGAGTGTCTCTCTATTGTCCTATCCAGCCCCAGGGACTGTCCCCAGGTAGTGTTCCTCGTCACCCCCCAGCTATATCCTCCTCAACTGCTCTTGCCTGACTGGAATGTGTCATCAGACTGAGATAATGTGGCGTGTGTGAATGCAAAGAAACCTCTGACTAGCTCAGCTGGATAGAGCGTGGTGCCGGTAATTCCAAGGCTGCAGGTTCGATCCCCGTGTGGGACAGCTGCATATTCCTGCAATGCAGGGCGTTGGACTAGATCAGCGTCCCCCAAAGTTGGGTCTCCAGCCTTTCTGGGACTACAACTCCTGGCATCCATAGCTAGCAAGACCAGTGGTCAGGGATGATGGGAATTGTAGTCCCACACATGCTGAAGTCCCAACTTTGGGAAACACAGGACTAGATGTTCCTCAGGGTCCCTTCCAACGCCACAACTGTACGATTCTATGACTGTTGCATGACTGGAATGCAGCCCTGGCGCAAGGCTAAGACTCACAGCCATGCGCTCCCCCCTTTTGCCTCTGTTCCCGCCCACTGGGAAGGTTGCCCACAAGGGCATGTGGACCTTGAACTGACAAGTCTCCCCCGTCTTATCTGAACTAAGAGTCTTTGCTCCTACAGCCCGGATTGGAGTGATTTAACAACCTGGGAGTTGCTGCATCGCTAAACTTCAAAGGATAAACTCGGACAACAGCCCAGATTGGAAGATTGGAATGAAGTCAGGGGAAGCAACGCTGGAAAATAGACAGTTGAAAAAATATATATTTACAAATAAAGCTGCATTCGATGGATGAAAGGATATATGATTTTTGACATGACTGAGAATCGCATAGCCAGGGACGGAGAGCTTTAAAGTGAAGATCAGAAGGTGGGAAATATGAAAACAACGAGAAGAGGCAGGAACGAAGATTTGGAGATATGCTTCAGAGGTCCAGACTATGGGGAGCCCAGAAAAATTAATAATTACAATTTGGATTACAATTTGGTCACTTTTTAAATTTTAGTTTATTGTTTTTAATTGGGTTGGATTACGATGCGGATATGATGATTGGCTGTTTTTATTGGAAAAGCAATAAAAATGATTTTAAAAAAAGTCTTTGCTGATTGCAGGAGAAGATCAGCATGTTATTCTAAAGCACCAATGCTGCAGCAAGCAAAGGCTCCAGCAGCTCAGTCTGCTGCTTGTGGCTGGAAAGCCAGACAGGATGTTTGTAACTGTTGCCATGGAAACAAAGGGGCAGTTCATTCTGTACTGAGCACCGGATGTTAGCTCAGTGTGTGTGTGTCATATGACCCGTACTGGAAGTACTTGGGTGGAGTTTCTTCTTGCTGTTGTCGAGTGCAGACATGTTTCTCTGTACTGATATGAGAGACAGAAATAAAAGACGTAAATAGTTTTCTGTCTGCTTCTTTCCCCTCCTTGGGGGACACCAAAGGGGAGAGACGAAGAACGGTGTGTTCCTCTCACACATCTGAGAAGAATCGCCGAGACCTCGCCTGCTTATCAGCAGAGTAGAGACGCAGCGAGGTCGACAGGAATATCTGCCGGTGCCTACGCTGTTGGCACATTCCTCTGACCCAAGGCAGAATTCCAAAAGTGGTAGCAGAGGATGGTTGCGATTCATCGAACATCTGGATGAGAGGCTGGTGAATTGTCCTCCTCTGCTCCATAGAAGCCTGATGTGAGAGGCTGATTCTCTGCAGCCAGAAGCTGACCAGATGAAGCTGACAGCCAAGCCGATGCTCAAGGTATGAGACTTTTAAGGGCTTAAAAGTGTGAATGCAGAATGATTCATTCCCTGCTTCACGGAGAGCGTGTGTGGGAAAGCAGCTCCAACTTAGAAGAGGCCTGCATACCAGGCATTTTTGTGGTTTCCTGTCTGAGGAAAGGAATGCGCTGTTGCCTAGCAACGTCCTTCAGAAGGCTGTGCCTCAGTAAGGAGAATGGAAAGTTATTCGAGAGGACTGGACAGTCAGATTATGCTTCAGAGAGGCGAAAACAAAGTTTGTTATGACTAGGTCCTCACGAACTGCTGGAAGGGACTTTCCAACGCAGCCAGTGTCAGAGTTGCCAGGTGTCAAGAGAGTAAACAAGCCAGCTATTGGATTTTAGAGGCTTGTGTTTTAGAGTCAATGCAAGGACTCAAAATGGATGCCAAGAAGGGGGGAGGTTTGCCTTCTCCACCCCTCCTGACCAATGACAATTATTCATCTTGGTCTGTAAAGATGAAGGCCCTGCTGCAGAATCAGAGACTGTTTGAGGTGATTGAAAATCCCATCCCAGCAGCACCAACGCGTGCTTGGGAGTCACAGAATGTGAAGGCTAGGACTGCTATAATTCTGTGTGTGTCAGACTCGCAGCTTGTGCATATACAGCATTTGGATTTTGCGAAAGAGGTTTGGGATACGCTGCGTACAACGCATCAGAGAGATGCTGGTTCTTCAGCGTTGCTGTATTTTGAGAAGTTGACCAATTTGAGATTAGCGCCTGATGGAGATGTTCAAGCGCACCTGACAGAGATGAAGTTTCTGCGTCAACAGATGGTGGAACGCAATTTTCGTCTACAGGAGGAAGTGTTTTGCTTCATGATGATAAACAGCCTTAGCCACACCTACAAGGTTGTTGCCAGTCAGCTTGGTTCGCTACCTGCTCAGCAGCTAACCGCGGAGAGAGTCTGTGCCGTCGTCCTGAACGAACACGACAGACTTGCTGCACTGGAAGTAAAAGACAGAGGGAGGCAAGAACAGAGTTCGAATCTTCCCACTGCTGATAGCACTACTGGTGATGCCGTAGCATTGAGTGCCGTCCGATGCTATAATTGTGGACAGACTGGGCATCTACAGCGAAACTGTAAGAAGCCGCGACAGTCAAAAGGAGCCAAGAACAGCTCTACGAAGCCTGAGGCGTCAAGCAAAAGCCGTACCGTGTGCCAGGTGAAACCTGCAAAGGCTATGATGGCGAAAGGAACCGCGCCAGATGTTGGGAACGCATTCATAATCGATACCGGCGCCACGAAGCATCTCTGCCCACACAGACAACTGTTTTCGACGTTGAAGAAGCAAAGCTTCACTGTGAAACAAGCCAACGGTCAAGAGTTGGAAGCGACCGGGATTGGAACTGTGTATCTTGAGAGTCTGAACTTGACTATAAGTGATGTTTACCTGGTTCCAGAACTGAAATTTAGTCTGCTGAGTGCTTCGCAGATTGCAAAGAAGGGACTAAAACTGTACTATGATGATAAAAGATGCAAGATCTACAAAGATGGAGAACTGTTTCTTACTGCCAAAGAGAAAGATGGACTGTATTTGTTGACTTTTGATCAAAGTGATTACATGAAATGTAATACTTCTGATTCTAACGAAATCTCTCTTACAGGTCTGACCAGTGTGAGCACCAGGAAGGTGACCAGCAAGGTCGACAGAGCGTTTCAGCGGGTGTATGCTGATGTGATTGGTCCCCTAGAACCATCTAGAGGCGGTGCAAAATATTACCTTTTGTGTGTGGATTGTTTCACTAATTATTCTTGGGTTTATATGATGGAGAAACCGCAAGAAACTTTAGAAAAGTTTCAGGAGTTTTGTGACAAGGTTAAAAATATGCATGATGCTAACATTGATTGTCTTTTCACAGATGACAAGCCAGTTTTTCTTTTACAGGATTTCCAGAGGTTCCTGCAGAAGAAAGGGATAAGACACAAACTTGCTAGTTCCGAAGAAGCATGGAAGAAATGTGTCTGTGTTAGGGTGAACAAAGAATTGCAAAAAGGGATGAATGCGCAATTGCTGAGTTCACATTTGTCACATGATTATTGGGCCGAATCTTTAGCGTCCTATCTTCATGTGTGGTTGAGAAAAGTCTCAACAGAGTTGGGATGTTCTCCTTTTGAGAAGCTGTTTAACAGAAAACCTTCTGTTGCCTATTTCAAGGTTTTCGGGTCTCATGTGAGAACAGAAGCTCCAAGTGGGGTAAAGAATGCCAGAGGCACTTTTGTGGGTTATGAAAAAG